TAAATTATAATTTTATGCTATCTTTAATGATGTGTAGAAATTCCCAAAACTACTATTGTATTTTGTAGCCTGATGCAGCAACGGTGTGCTGTTGGCACAATCAGGTGGATTACTTCTGTTGCTTGGATGTAACACCATTGGATTGCCCTGATTATCACAATGTTACCGTGGTTGTTCACAACGCATATCCACAGAATCCATTCGCGCTGCGTTCATTTCATTTTAGGTACGCTTAATTTCAAATAATATATTCGTCTAATTCACCGTTAGAGTCTGTTCAAGGGTATTCTGATTATTCATCTTATGCACAAGAAGGCCTTTCCAAATATTAATTACTTTCACCACTTTTCTGGAGTAAATTGGTGAAAAGTTTCGTAATGTACGCATTTGAAAGGAATTAGTTCGATTTTTCAATGAAGAATGATATGCTTAAATTATAACCTCTTAAAGCAATTGAAAATAAATTTTTTTGAAAGCTATAACAAGAAATATTTAGCAGTTGGAGTATTTGCATTCAATTTTTGGTTACTAAAAATAAACAATTTCCAGTTAATTCTTTTCTCCCTATTTACCGATAGTAGTTATCTTTTCTTAGTAGTGGTGGCCCGATACTTCCGTAAACTATATTTGTTCTTTTTTAAATGACTGGTTAACACTTGAAAGTTTAAAGTGATGCCAGAGTAGCTAACACTAAACTTGAATATAGAGGAAAACTATCTGTATTTTCGACTGGTTTGAAAACAGGTCATCATTACTTATGTTCAACGAAAGTAGATCAAGCAAACCCTTTTTTTTGTTGTTGTCTAGGCGTTGCAATTGAAGGATGGAGAGAAGGAGCATAAAATCCCCCACAGTATGAACAACAAAAAATATTCTGTAATCTGCTCTGATCAATATATTGTGATGTTTGCTTGGGAAATGTTATCCAAAGAATCACAGAAAGTGCTTCCAATCTTTTGGGTATGTAGACTATAGTTGTTGTAATAAGCTATGCCTTTAGCAAGTGGATACGGAAAAGTAGATTAGTTTGGTATACGAAGTCTCCAACTTACCTTGAGAAAACTGGAGAAAGTTGTGAATTGTAAAAGCAAGCCAAATAATGCAGAATTTAAGGAAATTTAGAACAGCTATGCTGAAAAATCGAAAATCATAAGTACCGAATTCAAACTGATTTGCAAAAAGAAGAGGAAATCCATTTGAATTTGTTCAATAATAATAAGAGACAAGTATCGCAATTTTGACGAGAAACATTATGCATGGACATATAACATTAAACAGCAAAAACACTGACTTGGCATAACATATAGTTGAAAGCGGAGTTCAAATGGAGTTACTATCAGCCATAATAAAAATAAGCACTTCATCGAGGAACTGTTTTCACTAAACCTGTATGAACAGTCGATAAAGTTAATTCATTGATTACCGAATCAAAACTTGAATTTTAATCAGAAGTATAACCGCATATCATTTAGTTTACCTTTAATTTAAAATAGAAATTGATAATATTTGTGATGATTATGGTAGCTGTGATGTTCTTCAGCCTTACACAAAAACGAAGACCTAGCATGTGAAATATATTCAGAAGCTTCTCTCTAATTTAGCAAGAGTTCACTTCATCTATCTCTTAATTTTGCTTTGATTTTGAAATTTACAGAGAAGGAATTGAAGATGAAATAGTTGCTATGACACAAGAATTAATACACGATAACAAAGTACGCAAGGAGAACGGCGTTTTGATTAGGCGTAATATTGCGTAGAATTGATGTGTTAATACCGTTTTCGAGAGTTGTTAATGTAATTCTTGCATCAGAGATGGTATATAGTTTCAATGTTCAATAACGCTTGAATAAAGCTTTTGTAAACACACGAAATGTGGCTGTTCTATAAAAACGTCTTAAAATGGTTTTCACAAATCCTTTCGTGTTTATAATATAGAAAGTTTCGAAACTACTAGCAGTGACAAACGAAAAAGGAAAGAACACATAACTCCAAAAACTGTTCAAAGAAATTTATTTTTGAGCACATCTATCACCTTCAAATTCACTTTACACTATGCAGTGAACAGTATACCTGAAATGAAGAATAACCACAATTTTGTAGTAACTACAACCTTACTACTTTTATGTGGTTTAAATCAGTAGCAAATGGTTGCTTAGATAATTGTAATACAGTGTTCTATCATACTCGATTTTCTTCTAAACTATATTAATTTTCCATATTTTGATGAGAATCCAGTGCTTCCAAAAACTGCTTACAGATAACTGGTTGCCTCAGCAATATACAAAAAAAACTCAGAGGAATAGCACAATCTCTTTAAGGAATTAACTTCAGTTACCTTTATTTTTCCGAAACAAAACGTAGCTTCTCTCTTAAATATTTCCGACATCTAATAATTATTCAGAACTATAAGTTTAATCATGATTTCGATCTTTAGAATAGAGTATTATATTCATTAGATGGAGAAAGGATCTAATAATAACCAAAGAATAGTTTTAATAATGAGGAAAGATAAACAAATTTAATGTCTTTTCTTTATTGGAAAAACTTTTGTACATTACAAATAACTTTTATAATATAAAAAGATATAGTCCCTGAAGTTATATTCGTTTAGAACAACATGATAGCACCGTTAGCTAAGTAATCAGTTTGTTATCACAAACTGCTGATTGTGTCGAAAAACATATGAACTCTGAGTAACAAACAGGCGACGAAAATGTGTCTCGCAGAAAATACTGCCATCTGTTGATCGCTGACAATTTTCCACCCTAAAGGTGTCTGAATCAAGCAAATTTGCAGAAAAAGAGATGAGCAACTTTTTTGCACTTTTTAATTCCATTTAATGCATGTTATGCTTCTAATCAATTTCCAAAATTGGTATCACTTGTTTTCATCAAAATCTTTTTAAAGTAATAAATGAATGAAGAGACCAATCACTACGGTAAATTTATACGGCAATATATTTCAAAAAATTTTCGAACCATCTTATACTTACTATTGCTGGATCGTTTTCATTACATCTAATAAGTTTTCTACATATATTTATTTTTTAATGAAATCAAACAGCTGATTAAGTGTTTCCAAAATCGAGGCTGAAATTAGAAGAAAAACGATATATTTTCTAAATGACTTTAAATAAGAAAATTTTGAGCTATAAAAAAAATTTTGAGATAATTCCGCTGTTTAAACATTAATAACATTAACTTCTTTCCCTACATTTCAAAATTTACTGAGCGAATGGGCATTACAAATTCATAATCGATTCAGTTGCCAAATATACAGAAATTTTAATAAAAGTAGAACTGAATACTTTTCTTGTTAAGAAAATTCTAAGATATCCAAGCGCAAATATCAACTATATTCTTAAACTCTATAGATTTTGAGGTACGGAAGTTAAAAATCGGACCCATACACAAATCTTTGTAATTTTAGGAGTCCATAGTTTTTCCTTTTTTGGCTTAGCTAGGACATAAATTCAATGTTTTATCTATTACAGTCCAAACCAAAAACAGTTCAGAAAAATGCGGAAACGACTTGCGCCAGTAATTTTTAGTTATACACTGTATTCCAGTAAATACGCTCAGTTTTTTCAGACTTATATAATGTGTTAACTATGAATATAGAACATCGAGTTAAATATGAAGTCCTGAATTCTAAAACGATTCGAAAGCTAAGATTTCGACGGGAAAGTTAAGAAAATCAGAAAAAAAGGTTGAGATTGTACATGTTAGCTAGCCACATTATTTCCAGTTCCACATATCATCTGCTTTCATTAAAGTGATATTTGAAATGTTATATAAATTCTGCTGTTATCAGGCGAACTTAATGCATGCCATATATCTCATTCACGTAGTTCTACAGAGTAGTCTGACCGTGATCAAAGCTAACAGAAGCTGACTAGCTGTTGATAAAATATGTTTTACATATCCATCCACACAAGCGAAACAACTGCATAATCAATATCTAACTTAAGAACTGAAACCCAAAACGCAGTTGTGATGTCTCTGATGAACTTCGATATAAAATCTAAATATGCTTCTATCATCATCACAGTTCAAGTGGTAGAACAAAGCCGGTGTGAATAGGAAAATTTTGGACAGAAGTCAATCAAGAACAGGTACTTCAAATGTATCGATTATAATTTCGGAAAATTAAAAAGTCAGAAAATTGATTATTGTTTGAAAAAGAAAAGAAAACATGGATAATCTTATGAAATTAATAATGCGAGTCTCAATGCTCTACAGAATTTTGGTTTGAAATCTTTTAAATTTATTGCTACCTCTTAATTTTTCGGAGGTAAAATTTAATTTTTACCTCAAGTGTAGACCGCATTGTTTACATCGAAAACATCTCAAGTGATATATTTGGGAGAAACACTGCAAACTCTCCGCAAGATACACAGCTTTACCGCAACAATTGCAAAGTGGAGAAGATGCCACACGGGCATTCCAAATCTGAAGTGATGGTAATTTCATGCATCGGTTAAAAGAAGAAGCATGCATTCATTATTTCATATTAATTAAAAGATCAGCATTTCACAATGAAGTGAAAATGTCAGTTTGGAGAATTTATTCGTTTTTATATCATTTCCAATCTCTATAATTTTTTAATGAAAATCACTGGAAATTAAATTCATCAATGTATCTATTAATGACATTATCACCAGCACAATCATTGGAACGAGCGATGAGCGTGGAATCAAACAGTGCTAAAAAGGTTTAAAGTGTTATTAGTGAAAGGAAATTTTTTGAGGAGATTAAGGTTAAATTAGTTCACACAAATAAATTCAAAGCGCATTTTTTTATTATCTCGAAACTCATAAGTTAAAAGCATGCGGAAAAATTTAATTGTTTCATTTTCATATGCATGAATCGTTTCTATTCCAAATATTTTTACTTCATACATAAATAGCAAATGATTAAAACAATTTTTAAATCATAAAAGATGAGTGCGCACTGAAACATACGATGTGCTTACTTAACAACGCGCTTCCTCTTCATTTTTTACTTTTCCTGCAAAATGTTTTTCATACTACATCTACTTAAACATTTCAATTAGTTTATTCACTTAATATAAAGTTCAGTACTAAAACTTCGAAGTAAAACTTCAATTGTACTTTTTGACGAATATTCCTTCTTTTACTATAAAGCATTTCCCAACTACCATGTATATTAAATCGAGAATTTTTAGAAATTTGAACAAAACAGTATATTGCATGTCCGTTCTTTAAATTTAATTCACAAAAAAGATAATTTAAAAATTATTTTCAAAAATCGGTTCCTATAGCTATAGGCAACAGCTGTAAAATCACTGACTGAAAGTGCTATAAAATGGTTCGTATGACAAACAGAAGTAAGGAAGCATTGATAAACGAAACGCCTGCAATATCCACAGAAGTAATTGTAAAGAATAAAAATAATGGAAAATATGCATTTGCGTAAAAATGATTAAACTAACCGTTTGTATAGCATTTTTTGAAGGCATCCGATTTTTTTCTGCTTTTCTAGCCTCTTTTTTCTGAATTTTTTCCCACTTTGCAGTCATTTTTGAGGCGTGATCAGCAACCACATGAATTTCTTCCTTTTCAACAAATTTCCCTCTATCGGGGGTTTCTTCACGAATAGCGGCTGCTTCTTCTTTTTCACCTTTAATCCAATTCCACAGTACAGTTTCTGTATGAGAAAAGTTATAGCCAAAAGCTTTTTTTTAGAAGTGCAAAACTGAATTGCTTATAAGTAGACAGCCGGGAAAAAAGCATAGAAATCAAGTTACGCCTCAATCGTTCAAATTCTTCTTCAAGTTGTCTGCGCTTTTCCTCTGCTGTTCCATTTTCAAATTCTGTTCCAGCTTTTTCGAACTGTTCTTTTAGATTACGCGCAGCTATCTAAAAAGCCTTTAATTAAGAAATAAAGATTCAATCACAATTTTTCAAAGTGTACAGAAAGATTTCATTTTTCACTCGAATACCTTAATTTCATCCAAATCACTCGGTCTTTCATATTTCAACTTTGTTTCCTCTTCTTTACCGATATTTATGAACTTTTGCATAAGATTTTTAACATCATAAGTATCTTCATCTTTTTCATTTTCTGCAACTGATTCCCTTTAGAAAATAAACAATAATTAAAGTAACCATAAAACAATACAAGTTTTCAATTTTCAGGAAAAAGCAATTTTCAAAAAAAAAAAAAAAAGAACATTTATCAAAACAAATCAAGCGCTGCATAAAAGAGCGTTTTAATGGATGGAAAGATATACATTTGAAAATCATTTTAACATAATGTTTGCAAGTAAATTGAATTTTTCTGTAATTTGAAAGGAAGAAAACAATTATTTGCAACTTTTTTCTTTATTACTAACAGACCTTCGTCTTCGACCACTTTCTTGTTTACTGGTTCTGGGATTGTGCTTTCCTTTTTATTCCATTTGCTTACCTGCTTCCTTTGCTAGAAACACTTATAAATATAAAAAGAGCTTCAAAATATTTTAAGCTTAATTGGAGTCTCTTGATTTAAGCGCTCGGGAATACTTTTAATAATTAAAATGAAATATTTGAATTATTAACGTAATGCTGAATCATTAATCGCACCTGATTTCCTGGAGCAAATGTTTGAACACCTTCAGCATCGATTTGTTGAAATTTTTGCCTAGCTTTACCAGCCATTTTAATTTCTACATCCAATTGTCTGCCTGAAATTTCCAACCTCATTTTCATATTGTAAAACAGTATTGCATAAAAATAACAAATAGTGGTCATTTGTAGCGTCAATAATTACAGAGGACAAACCTTCGTGTTCATTTTTGGAGGAATAATCACCTTTTTCAAAACGATTTCTAATTGTTTCAACCTGAATCTCCGCTCCAGCTTCAATTCCAACGTTATCAGACACCTATGTAATTTAAGAAGAATAATTACGGTAAAAAGGAAAAATAAACAAAGCTGGGTTAATAAATGAATTGGAACTTTTTCGTGATAAGATGACAGTAGAGATAATTCTCAGAAAAATGAATAATCGGTTTCTGGTGAAATTCACCATAAATAATTAATAAGATTTCAAATGAGGCGATATTTTTCCATCTTCACTCCTTAATTCCTCATTTTTTTATTGTCCTTGAAAAAGTCTTTTTTAATTAAATTTGTAAGTAAAAAGAATAGCTAATTGATGTACTTCATTGACGGCTTCTCTCTCGACAGCTGCTCGTCTAACAAGCTTGTACCTTAAAAATTCCTCTTCAATTTGTTTCTTTTTCAATTCTGCCCTTTCTTCTAGTGTCATTTCTAAACTGTCTTCTCCCTGAAATGTTTGCATTCTTCCCTTTATTTTAATACAATTTTTCATTTAGTTATACTTAACCGTTCAATTCCTCTTTATCAAGTATAAGTTTTATTTGAAATTTTACTTGAAGAGTGTGGGCCAGATTTCATTTATCAGCCTTAGTGATTTAAATAATGTTAGTGATGCTTACTTTTTCAAATGCTGATTTAATACCACTGAGGTCTCCGATGTGTGTATTAATCTCAACCTTCTGAATTTGCGTGTTTCCTTCACCTCTTTCAAAACGTTCTTTGAAATGTTGAAGTTCTAAAAACAAATTCTATCACTTTAGTAAATTACTTCAGATATTTTTCTTTTGGAAGTAAAGAATTTTCTTCAGTAATTTGTGATCACTAGTTTATTTCAATGGTAAACAAAATAACGTTATGGTTGGAAATAATATGAAAGACTTTGCTTTATTTCTCAAAAGTTACTCTAGAAAAAATGAATTGAGTTTCAGGGTTTCGTGTCATGTAAAGGGAATAATGCTTCAAGTGAAATATGCAGCTTACGTGCAGTCAGTTATTAAGATCTAGAAGGTAATTTCAGTTTTTTAGTGTGAAGCATAGAAGTGTTTGTCGGAGCACCCTATGAATACCAAATTTTCTTCAAGAAAATTAAGAAATCAAGAAAGAGAAAAAGTATGAACTTTTGAACTCAAGATCTTCAAGTTTAACAGTAGTTTTCTCAATCGGTCCAGATTGAAATGCTGAACCCTCCAAAAATGATTTCCGAGCATCGGCCACTCCTGAATCAAGACTTCAATCATTACAAATTCGGCAATGATTGGAAAAAAATGTAAAGTTGAATTCAAATGCTGACACTTTTAGTTGAGTTGATTTACGCGGACAGGACAACATGACATGAAAATCACGACCTTATAATTTCTGTACATAAATCACACAACTGGTCTGACTGTTTTATTCAAGCAGTTTGAAATGAAATACGATAATCTCTAAAAATTATCTTTATTTTATAAACCAACATACTTTGCAGATACAATAACATCTATTTATCATCCTCACGTTCTGTATGCTAAGAACACCTGTTTGAAAAACGAACCTGAAGTATTGAGTTCACTACTGTCCCATTGTTTAGCAACTTTTTGTTCGGCCTCTGTCATCTCCTGGAAGCGCTCTTTGACTCCAGGACAATTCTGCAGTTCCTTTAGGTCGTTCTTGATTTCTTTGACATCGACTGTTTGCATGCTGCCTTTTTTCCACTTATTCTTTATATCACCTACCTGAACTCTTGTAAAAAAAATTCAGATTGAAAAATTACTTTTTAGTCAGAGAACCGAAAAGTTAATAATTCATTTCATACTTCTAAAACTTCACAATTTTTCATAAACTTTAAAACTTCTTAAGAAATGAAATGCAACTTTTTAGGCCTAAAATTTAATAAGCAATATTTAGAATATCGAACTCGTTCAAAGTTAAGTTTCTCTATGCGACGTTTCTTGTCTTCACGGACGATATTTGGATCTCTCCCGTCTTCGTCATCTTCCTCCTTTTCATCTTCGTCATTAGCAGCACGCATTACAAATCTACAGAAAGGAGATTAATATATTTCTTATACGATCCGCATTCTTAGATTATAAAGCACAATAATTTTAACCCAGGAAATTTTCGTTTTACTAATAATGTATGTTATAACCAAGTATTCCACTCCTTTCCCATAAATCTCTCCCGCCTTTATGGTTTCAAAAAAAGAAAGAAAAAAACCGTTAAACTGAGTTTTAGATTTGAGAGAACATTAAAAGACCTTCTCAGTTGCTAAATGCAAGCAGCGTTCAAATTAGCTTTATTCTTGAATTTCCTTCCTGTACTTCTACTTTGTTCTGACCAAACAATTTTAGTTTATTAATAATTTCTCAAAATGACTAATTTTTGAATACTACTTCTAATTTAATGGTATTGCTTTGCAACTAAAGTGCATACTTTTCTAAATTAGCTTTCACTTTCCCCGAAATAATCTCCTCAACGATATTCTTCTTCTCTATATGCATAGTTTCTGTTTCCTTCGCAGAATTTTCCCAGTCTCCTTTCCTTGCCTTTAATGATCCAATAGTAGACAAATCGTCTAATTTTGCACCGCCTGAAAATACACTGATAAAAAAAATTCTAAAAGCGTTTAAAATAATTTTAAAATCATAGGATATTGAAGCTCTACAGCTTTTATTTCTATGATGATCCAATAGTTAAATGCAGTTTGAAAAATTAAATAGCAACAGTAATAGTGAAATAGTAGTATGCAGTAGTTTTCATCTCAGAAGCAGAAAACAGAAACTTGGTACTTACAAAAAGAAAAAAAAAATCTATTCGTCAGCATTTGATTCAAAAAGTTCTTTATTGTTAACATTCTGAAGCTGCAGATACAACTAACAAATTTTGCTTAATTTTCTTTTTAACATCACCTGACATCTATTGAAAAGTTTGTATGAAATGAATATATCATTTTAACATCATTTAATATCACATACTTGGGGAAGGCGTTGACGAGATAGTGTTTGTAAAGCAACTCTATTTTTATATCATTTGGGTCGTCATGCTAATATCAGGATGCTATTTGTTACTTAAGAGGGAAAAGATAAAAAAAGCAAATAAGGCATTTCTCCCTTTTTTTAAGCTTCACGTAGGCAACGAGGAGGGAGAAATATGTTCATAAGCTGTGAAATTTGTATTGTAAAAGAAATCCTTATTAGCGATTCTTATAAATAAACATCTATATTTTATACTCTTAAGCATTTCTGAAAAAAAAAAAAGTATCCAGAGATTTCTATAACAAATAGAGATTCGGCAAAAGTGAACAGATACTCAAGGCTTTTCTTACGGCGACTTTTTGTAGCCTTTCATAAAATCACATAGCATTTTTTATAACTATAACGCTCAAGATAATCGAAACTTATGGAAGAAATGAAATAATCTGGATTTGGCAAGGCGGTGCTGGAAAATCAAGTTTTCAAGCACTATATAAATTAATTAACTGAGGAATCGTAAAACATTAGCTTAGCAAGGAAGGAATAACTAACAAGACAAAACCTTTAAAACTTGTAAGAAAATAAGTTGTGCAAGACTGAGTCAATTTATGCAAAGTTTGAAATGAAACTATCTTTTTCTTTGCAGTTGGAAAAAAATATTTTGTACTAAGAGCTGTTGAGAGCTGAATTTTCTGATGGATTTAAAAGTTCAAAATTCAGAAAAATGTAGAGTGAACTTTCGAAGAGGCTTGTAATGAATAGTTAATCCAGTTGACATGATCATAAAAGCAGTATGGATTGATTGTTTGGAGAAAAATTGTTTGGAGATTTTTCAAGAAAATAAATCGTTATTCATGGAATTTTGGTCTGTTAGCATATTTATAGACTTTTGTTACAAGATGCGAAATAAACAAAACAGATTTTCATTTAGTCACTATTTATACTCTTCATCTAGAATTTGAAATATTATCCAGAAAAGAATAGCCAAATTTTAGCCAATATTTTCAAGGCTAGTATATATTATTTTGAAAGATGCATTGAAAAGCGGTTATAAAAGATAGTGAAGAAGTACTGATTAGAGAAATGAGGAAATTTCACCTGTAATTCATATATAAACTCCGGTAAGATTGTCCATTTCACAGAAAGATTAAATATAGTCATAGTACCGAAGAAGTTCAATGGTCACAGTGTCACCACCCACATCAGAGATGATTTTGTCCCCCTTCGCCCATTTCTCTTTCACCTTCTTATATTACAAGTTTGTTATGAATATTTCATATGAAGTAATTTACTGTAATAATAAAATAGAAGAACTCGCTCTTTCCTTCTCTAGTATCTATCAATATATATATATATATATATATATATATATGTAAATGGAGGTTCTGCCTTTGATATCCTATCAATATATCAACCATTTTATTGCATACCCTCTTATCACTATAGACAAATAAGTCCTTTCACGATTCTTGCCGTTATCTTCATGACAAATTCCATGTCTTTCGTTACATGGAATGGAGCAGTTAAGACAAAGAAATGTAGAAAAATTGCCCAAATTTTTAATGAAAACGAATTAGAGGAGTGTGCAAAGGTAAAGGAAAAAATTCAAGAGCGGAAGGAAGAATTTGCATTACTGAACAATTGACTCAAAACCTTCTTCCTTCTGTCTAAAGTAGAAAGTAAGCACCATAAATTTTTGAAGTTAATAATTACAATCCTTGGAAGTCTCCCTCGAAAATAGTAGTTATAAGTGTATTCAAAAACAAGAAGATGAGAGAAATCGGAATGAAAAAAAAAAAAGTGTGCATAAAATTTCTGGAAACCAGTTTATATTTTGAAGTAAAAATTCGTCACTCACAGGAAATCAACTAAAACTTACATTTAATAACATCATCACCAAGTTGTTTTGGTTTTGATGATATTGCATATTCCTCATCTTCTTCTTCATCTTCCATCTTTTCATCCACTAAAATTTATTTCTTACTGAGATGACAATATAAAATTGACGAGATGAACAAAAACAGTTACGAAAAGTTAAAAAGATCAGAAAAATTTTTGTTTTTCCAAGGATTAACCTTCTGTTGTAGTGGAATCCATTGCTTTCGCAATTTCAGGATGAAGTATTTCAAGGTAATGAATTTTACACATCAATTGATCTTCATGTATGTTGTAATTTGTTGACCTGAAGAGTTCTGAGTGGAAAAGTAGATTGATACTTCATGCCGGTTTCACTCAAAAAGAAGTGAGACAGTCTGGGTAATGGTAACTATAGCGTAAAATGTACTCTTGTGGTTTGAATGGTTTTTTAAGAATCTTAAGTAAGCATCTTATAAACTCTTGTAAATGTTGTGGGAACAGCAAGAATCTGCTCACGTCAATTTTTTGCCGCATTTGACACATTTAAAGCATGGTATATGATAATTTCGTTTTTTAGCAAAAATCCTTTCAACAGGATAAACTATTTTCGAACACACTGCACATTCTTTCGGAAGGTCATCTGTTGTAGGGTCCACCTAAAAAAATAAACCATTTTTATGTCTTAACGAAGGTTTATTGAAAACATAGTATCAATGGAGATCAGCGTGTGAAATATTTACTAATTGTAAAATAATGTTTACTGTACGATTTAAGGTTGCTGAAAAAGTCAAGATTAATTAAATGTAGGAGACCTGCGCAAATGTCCTCATCACTCGCCTTTTGTCTGCTTCTGAACGTTCAATAACAATTTGCTCGCGTTCGCTTTTATTACCTTCCTGAGGATTTTCGAAGGTGTCCTTTATGTTTTCTAAATTTTCCTTTCCAACACCTGTCAGCTCTTTCTCCATGGTCTTCAGACGTTCTTCGAGATCCTCCTTCATTACTTCGGGAAGATTCTCAAATTTGTTTCTGAACTTCAAATACTTTTCCTGAAACGAGTGCAAAGAAAAGAAAATAAATGAAATGACGAAAAATCAAAGCTATAGTGCCAGACCACCAGGGCTGTTCAGATATTTTGCTGTATGTCTCTCTGGCGATAATGGATCTTCAGACCAAATACGATTGTGTATGGGTCTGTGGATAATCAGTTCATATTACTATTGAGTTAAATTTACATGGTGAAGCTAAAGAGATTTAGAAGATGGTAACACTTTTGAAAAGTATTCTGTGAAAAAGAAAGGTTTGGCCTTTTTTTAACAGTTAGGATTGAAGAGTAAAAGCATACCTTTGTGACAGCGGCAAGTTGTTCACGTTCTTCATCTACCGGTTTCGCTTCATTCTCTAACTCATTTTTAGTTTTACCTAAACGTTGGCGTTATTAATAAGAACTACACAGTTGCAAGGAACAGTCAAATAAATTCTTTAACATATATTTTAAAAAATGAAAAAAAAAAAAAGATAAAAGCCATTTAATATGGAAGGTTTTTTCAGGAAAAATCTCATATGAATATGTCACGAATTTCCATTTATTCTTAATGCTTTGTGCAAACATAAATATTTTATAATCCTCAGTTTTTTCACTTGGATTTATCTTCCTAAAATGAATTTAAGGCTGAACGCATACCCTCAATAAAGTCTTTTTTTATTTTTTCTAGTTCGAATTTCTTTTTCAGCTGATTTAATTCCTCGAGACGTTTTTCATCCTTCAGCGCCTCTTTTGTTTCCCTTAAAGCGGCTTTCTGAAAGATTATTAATGAAGTGAAGATATATTATAATTTTTAGTAATTCTTATAGATTTATCATTTGCCTCAGCCTGGGACTGTTTTTGCAGCATAAGGTTTAGACTTTAATTGTATTTTAACTCCACTAACTAAACATACTTTTTTTTTTTTTTTTTTTACTTACGAAGACTGTACAAACCGTATCTGTTATTTTTTACAACTATAAATATTAATTAGATTGAGCAGCAGAACACGGTGGTTTATAAAATACTCATTCAGCAGACGTTACTTCCAAATTACTAAACCTGTTAGTATTTGTAAAGTATTCGGTCATCCAATATAAAACTAATAGTGGGACAAAATGTAAAATTCACTAAACTTTTTTAGGAGAAATCAACAATGACAGTCGTAAAATTATTTTTTACAGGCCATTTGACGGTGGCTTTTTTGTATTTCCGTATAATCCAAATAATTAATTTAAGCAGCAAAGATACAGTTGTGTTAAAAATGTCGTGCACAGATTATAGGTTGAATAAGTATTTAGAGTGATCCAGCTTTTCATGATTTTGCATATATATTTTTGTATATATTAACCTAATATTTAAAACAATGGAAAATAAATATTTTTAGCTGTGATGACAAATTGAATTTGATAGGATAAATGAGCTAAAACTGTTAACAGGTTCAGTTCTTTCAGTCCTTAGGAGATGAAAGAATGGTATATCCAAACATATAGTGTTTATAATCAAATATTAATTTAAAGCATTCTTTCAGTAACGTACTATAAATCAAAGGAAAAAAAATGAAATAAGTGGAAAAAATAAAAAATGAAGTTTTTGAGTAACTGAAGGACTGAAGTTAAATCAACAGAATGTTGCCGTTTACGTAAGTACTGATTCATTTTTTAAGTTAAAAAAAACATACAAGTGAAGAAATATCAGCAACAGATCGCCCTTCAATGCTGATTTTTGGCGGTGGACCCTTCAATGATTCAGTATCAGTATCCGAGCTTACAGCATATGGATCCTCCTCCATGTCTGTCCTAAATTTTTTCTAGCATTAAAAAATTACGATCATTACAATCCTTAATTCTCACTAAATATTTCGAAGTAACCTGGATTTAATGAATACGCTATTGGCGCATAAATTCAATTTAGAAAAGAAAACTGGAATTGAGCTGACACACACACACACAAACAACAAACCATTTGCTTAACAAATGCATTGTTTAAAAAAAATGAACGAAATTGTTATTACGACAAATTGGTCATTTTTTCTTTCAGCAAAAAATAAAATGCTTAGGAAATGTTTTCTGTGATTATAATATTTTTGACTGCAAATATTGCAGATGCATATTAATTAGTCTAGATAAAAGCAAGATCTCTTTCGAATATTAGGCTAATGGAATTAGCAAATGTAAAAAAAATTATATTAAAATTTTAACATTCTGCAAAAATCAGTTGGCTTTGAAATTGAAAGTAAAGCAGATGAGGAAATAAGATGAAGCATGTTATACTGAAATAAAACAGGAAAATGAAGAAAAAAGCCACTGTGCCAAAGATAAAAAGTATATAGCGTTGAAGGTAAGAGTTACCGTGCGCAAATTTGAGACTGTTGAGAAATAGCTAGGAAAAGGAACCAGATCGTGGTGTTACATCAAGTGTAGGAAAAATCCATCTAGTAACATCTTTACACACTTATGATAGACGGATGATGGATTTTGCACTGTTCTCGAGTCTCACTAGTGTGAGCTCGAGCGTTAGTGGTTGCCGAGGATCTATACACAGCTTCTCCATTCCTCTAATCACTCCTCACTTCACTAACATTATTATCTCTACTTAGAATAGCACGTTCTCGAAATTAAATATCCAAAATGCATTGATTATAGGAACAGGACATGCAGATCAATATCCTCTCATATTTTTTCCTAATCTAAGTCTAACTGTCATTTAGATTAGTGCTGAACAAAGTAAGCAAAAAAGCCTCAAACGAAATTATCTGATTTTTAGTTATCTATAACAACGACTGACACTGAACGTGTTCTCTTACTGATATCAAATATCTTCTAGAGATATCCATCATTTTGATAGTGATGTTGTGTAAATCCACCCACCGTTCGAAGAGTTCACAACAGAAACCGCCAATAAAACACTAATTTCTGCTCAGACAGTGGACATGAAACAAGGATTGCAATCGTAAAACTATGTTTTTTTTTTTTTTTTTTACTGTTCAGAATCGTACCAAAATTGTACAGCGAGGAAAATGAAATCAGTTTTTATTCTCTCTTTCTAAATGAAGATTGAAGTTTTATCATTTCTGAAGTTCATGAATTCATATTTCCAGAGTTAGATAACGACTAAAATTGCAAGCAGACAAATTAGTCACCAAAAACAAAAAAAAAAAAAAAAAAAATCACACCAAACAGCCTGTTAGATATTTGAAGAAGTACTTTTTCTAACAAATTCCTTTTGCTCTTATAAATTTATTCTTGACTTGTCGAAAAAATTTTTGTCGACCGCTTCTGACTGATGCAACTCCTCGAATGCACTGGAGGAAAAACTCAGATACTTCAGGGTTAACTAAGTAATCTAAGAATATTTTAATGAACAATTATCACTACGAAGTAACACTGATTCAAAGACCCTTATATATGAATCGATGGCATTATGTGGTAAGTTCCCTTCGTCTAAAATCTTAAGTGTTTTTTATAAACTTAAGAGTTAAATTGTCCAGACTTAGAAATAATTGATTACTAAGTTGAACAACTTGTTTATTTAAAAAAAAAGTAGATTTTAATATCAAAAAGAAACTGAATTTTTGGAGGGAAGGTGATTAAAATATCGCTCATCAAAATCAAAGACATGAAAGCCACAAGTACCACAAATTCGAAGCAATTCCATCTTTAATTTAGTAAAGCAGGGAACACTCTCGAGCAAAGTGTGCTTTGAAACCTGCCCAGGGCAACTGCGCCTTTCTAAACCGATCGACGATTAACAGCTGATGATATCCACAAACCACTTCAGTCTCCCATTTTTTAGACACTTCATTCATTTCCCGATCTGTCCCATTAATTTCATGCCACTTTATCACATCAGTTACTGAGTTAATAATTATTTCTGTGAAGATCGGCAATATGTCATTATGAGATAACTCAAAATCTATCACATGACAGGCCACAGTACCAACGATCATCAATCGATTACTTCAAATCCCACGGTGATGTGATTATTTATCCCTTGCTTTAACTTCGGCAGGAATTCTTTAAAAATTATTTCACGAAATACGACGCCACTAAACGAACCTGCAACAAATCTCTATTCTTTCAAAGTGGATAGTTCATTAACACTCCGACAGTTTGTTTTTTTTTTTCTTTGGAAAACCTGGGCATCTTATTAAGCGGCAAGGAAATGTGTGCTTTCAATGTCAAGTAAATGGTATACTTTTCAGTTCAATTTAATAACAAGGTTGACTGGAATCGATGGTTTTTATCAAAGAAAACATATATACATAGGTAAAAAAAAAAACAAATCAGAGGACCAAATCAGCATATTAACAATACTGAGATGAAACACGAAACTTAAAAATTGGGAAACACCATTCTAAATGTGAACAGTACACGATTCAGAGTTCTGGATTAATAAAGCTTGATCAAAATAGTGCACAAACTAGAAATCATTTGTTGTATTAGTTCAAAACAAGCTATATGCGAAATTCATAAAATGTATTCAAAATTAGAAAACGACTGAGAACTAGAAGAATTTAAAAGCTAATGGTAGCTTAAAAAATCTTAACCATTAATTCACCATTCACCAGAAATTAGATATGTGCTACAACAATCAGACGTTCGTAGTGTCCTTATCAATTACTTTTAAGAATATTTTAAAAAATTTCCTTAAAATCGTGCTTAAGACTCTCAAAGTTTACATCAAAGAACAAATACATTCTCATGCATAGATAGACAGATAGATTAAATTAGGCCAGATAAACAAACAAATAGAGACAGAAAGAGAGACGGATATTTAAATAGATAACTTCCAAATTCAAAACTTGAAAAATGTTAATAAAACTTATAATGCGGGATCACAACGTAAACTAGTGATAATTCATACTGCATTTTCTTCATTCTCATGGCTCCAAAACAATCAGCAAATCATCGCAAATCAACAACAGTTGCTGTTAGCGAATTTTCAAAACGTATGTCATGACAATAAAAAAACAGAGCTGAAGAATTTTCATGTGGATGAAAACCTACTTTACGGCATTCGTTAATTTCCTTCATGCCACGTTCTGACAAACGAAAAATACCCACCCTGAAATAGTTTTATAGATTGTTGCCTAATAAAATCATTTAGCTTTTCAGTTAACCGGTCAAACCCGGTCCAACTTTAGAGACGACATAAACCTCACTCATTGAATTTAGGAGCAACGACGATCGCAACGGCTTCTGACAACATCAGCTGATAGGAACAGTGCGTATGAAGATCAACACTAGAAAGGAACGCTGTCTGCGATGGATGAGTCTGCAATAAAGCATGATGATGTAAATCGAACTAACAGTGTACGAAATGAACGAAAAATTTGATTATAAAATTTGCTTTTGAAGATTCAATATGTTATTTTAAGATATCAGTGTTTTTGGACCGATCAAACCTGATACGAAATTCCTAAAAATAAGTCAATGCATATACTGAAATGAAAAATGAAAAGAACGGTTAGAATTGTGTCCAGATAACAAGAACTAACCATTTAAAAACACGTTAACTAAAACGGCAAGAAAAGAGTCTACTGATAATTTCAAAAAAATACATGTATCCATCCCAGAGTGATCAGATTATTGGCATCTTGATATGCAAATACTTCCTCTTCGTTGTGTGTATCACAGCTATCAGCAGCGCCAGTTTGCTTTGGTATCACGGCATGTGTTATACGACACACTCCACCAGTGATCTTAGAAAATGTCTATCAAAATAACATTGTATAATAATGCAACAAAAATAGATTCCAAGAAGAGAGCAAGAAATTAACTGATTAAAAAAATTCATTTTTTAGAGCGACTGAACCGAATATTTCTACACCTTCAGTGTACAGTTTCTTCTTACCGAAATAAGCCATTTGCAATGCGTCTTTGATAATTTTAAATACAATTCAGGCACACCAGAAAGCCGTTTTTTTTTAGCAAGCCTAAGCCAAGAAATAGTAAGCTCGCCAGTCGTAAGATCATGTCATCAAAAGGATAGTAACAAATCTACAATAGTGTACAAAATGAAAACAGTGCCACAAACAATTTCAGATTTACAAAGGAATCACCATGATAGGTTCATGAAATTCTCTCAAAGCAGACTTGAAGTAGACTACGAGTAATTCAAAAAATATCCTATTATTTGATAACGTACTACAAAAAAAAAAAGCAACAGCACGGTATGAAACTAATTCAGAACTAACCAGTGAGCCACACAAAATTGCACATGTTTCTACATTACGGTTCGTGTTAACTTGAGCTAGCTGAACAAAATTTTCCACAAGGTCGGCCGCAACGACAACCTCCTTATGGGCAAGATTCCTGAATAAGTTATTGGATACAAAATTATATGAAATTTTGAACCGCATAGAATCAGTAGTTAACTCGATTAGATCATAAACAATTAACAAAAATATCGATCGAATGGTTTCGATCCAAACATATAATTTGTAGCACTTTAATTCAAAAAACCTCTAACACTCCTAAAAGTCATAAAATTATTGTGAAATGGAACTTCTAAATTTATTCTCTTTGATTGAATTAGATCCTAACTTCACTTAAAACTATACTAAACATAAATGAGTAAAATATTAATGCTTTTATTCGCAAAACCAAATAAATACAGTTATCTAATTTTCAATAGAAATTTCAATCGGAAGCTGCATTAACTAAAAAGAATGCTCAACCTGCTATCGAACATGACTGCTGCAGAACCTGATTTCTTGTGATCAACTATTTCAAGAAATCGATTACGTGCTACAACATCACGAACCGACATATTTTTTCCAATCACAGCTACATTCTAAATCCATTATGTAACTGATATGAAAATACAATTCCTCATACAAAAGAAAATGGAACTTATTCTCCACAGATTTAACCATATAAAAACACAAATTATTCCAACTGGAGATGAGAGCAACCATTGAACATATTTAAAACATACATCAGCGGTAGTCTTCTTTGCACTCTGTCTTGCTAGAACTGCTTCTTCTTCATATTTCTTTTTCAGCTGTTCCTTTAACGATTCCGCCTTCACAAACGCATCCCCAAGCACTGCTTCAGCTTTGGCTTTCTCAGCCGACGAAAAGCCATTATACTGTTTGTGATTTGGTAAACTTTCGACCGCTAAGCTGCAGTAACATGGAATAACATGAAATTTAAAAAATTATGTTTATTTCAAAATGGAAAGCAAAAAAAAAAAAGGTGTGGAAACGATGAGAAACTGAGTAAAAATCAAGATATTTAGAAGAAAACGAGGAAAAGCCAATCTTCCCTAATTACATCACGCAGACTAAATCAAAAAGCTAGATGGCAGAGACCTACTACCTCCTCTTCATAGGAACTGACCAGAAGTAAACCTTTTGGAACAGAACAAACCTCACAAAACGCATATAATAAATAAATGCTCTTTCGTAATCTTTATCTTCTATACAAAAGCCAGCAACACGATACATTTCATTCAGACTTCGGTAATAACTGAAAAAAAAACTGCACAAATATGACATCGAGTATGTTGATGCATCCAACACAAATTGTAGAGTTAAGTTTATTGATGGGAAAACACAATACAATATACAACGTCTTTTAAATTGTATTTAAAATACTCTTCTATACAGACAAAGATTGCAAAACATCACAAAGAAATTTAAAGAATCCTACAATCAGAAATTGATGCTTATTAAATATGATAGAATTTCAGGAGAAATCCTTGTTAATTCGAATCTCGAGTTAGAGAACAAAACCTCGATAATATCTAACATAATTCTAGACTACTCTCAAAATAACGAAACTCAAAAATCAAACCGATTAATAGGGACTGATGGGCTCACTTCTTGAGTTGCCGCCATATTCAGGATAATTCGCATTCGAAGCCTCGGGTCGCATATCACATCTACACTTCGTTCCATTTCTAAACAACTGCATCAAAACCTCACAAATCAAAGTCCCCCAACTCACAAACCTTTAATATTCCCTCAAACTATGAAACCAACAAAACACTCCGCACCCACACACATCCTAGTGTTTTCTATTTCATGACTTGTAGCATATTTGCAGAATGCGACATGCGTGTGACCAGTGCGTTTCAGATGTGTTGCTGAGATTTAAGTGCTAAAAGTTGTTAAGCGGTGTGGAGTAAATTGCTTGCAGTGGAAGTTCTTAAAATAAGGAAGAGTTAATCTTGTGAACTGTACGAGTTGCACACTAAAAAAAACACACTGCATGTGTTTATAATTTCACGACTTTACTCTATTTTATAGCAATTTTAATTATACTTTTAGATGTGCGTAACGAATTAGAATATAGCAGAGATGAGGAAGATATTATTAATACTTCTCGCTGTGTTTTTGCTATCCCAGACGATCTTTTTTGTACTGAAATGTTTTCTAACAGATGTACCTTATACAGTCGTGACCCGACTGAGTATTATTGTTTTCCAACAGTTTGTTATGATTTTCGGATCAATTTTTATTTGGTGGAATTTATCTGCAGCTACTGATGAGTTTGTTCATTCATGCCTTGCTTTTGTATTTTCAGGAATTTAAAGATTTGATGTCTCTAATAAATTTTATATTGTATATTTTAATTTCGATCTCTTTTTTTAAAGTGTTTTAAGTGATTTGCCGCTGCAACCATCATACAGATGTTGGCGGACAATCTGTGTTCAAAAGGTTGTAAAGGTGAGATTCTTTTTTATTTTGCTAATAAGTGTTACAAGTATCAGAAGATTATTCAAGAATGTTCTTTGTTTCAAGGATAGACGTTCTTATCACTGAGTGGATTAATGGAAGTGATTTGACACAAGGGCTGTTTAATTATGACTTCATTGTAAACTTGGCTGATTTGTCTTAGTGACTCCTTCCGTTTACCATATTTGCTGCACTTTAATGATTATTAAACTTTGTAAAAGGTAACTTTAGGCTGCTATAATTCTTTTCTTATTTCTTGTGCATATCTCTTCAACATTTTATTATCTTTGGATTGGTGAAGAACCAAATATATTTGCAATGATTTCTTTAACGTCAGTCGCGGTCTATATCTACCTTATATTCTTTTTACTGACTTTTGTATTGGTACAGTCGGTATTCCGTCTTATATTCCATATGAATTCAAAACACTTCCGATTTCTAAGGTTTCTTTTTCATTTGTCGAGTCATCATTTCTGTTGGATTATTTTCTACTTTTACGTTCATATTAAGTTATTAAACCTCTGCACCTCGTAGTTCGTAGGTTTAGTTGTAAATTCACTTTCAGTTATGGTCAGACAGTTACTAAAAATAAATTATTTATAATATAGTTGGATTAACCGTATAGTATTTTCTTCTTCACCCTTTCTTTGAAAACTGAAATTTCATTCGTATGGTCTTGCAATAAATTTATCTTACTGCAAGTAAGTCACGACTGTGTAAATTTCAGGTTGCTGGTCGCAAATGAACTTTCAAATCGCATTTTCGCCGTTTTATTGGCAGTTGTTTTCGTTCTAGCAGGCCTTTGGGTTACTTTATTACCACCCGCGGTGCGTCGTATTACAATCAAAATCGATAACTTGCCAGAAGTGCAAAAAGGCTTTACCGTTGCTCTTTTATCTGATCTCCATATTGGACCAACTGTTGGATGTTCAAAAATTCAGAAGATGGTGAATACTATAAATCTTTTCAAGCCAGGTATGTTGATCTTTTTTTTTTTCTTTTTTTCGAGACCTCAGGTATGCAAAATTATTGCAGTCTTAATATTTTTTTTTAGACGTGATAGCTATATCTGGCGACCTTGCCGATGGTCTTGTCCCAAATTTAGAAAAAGCTGCTTACCCTCTAATGAATCTAACTTCAAAATATGGCATATATTTTGCTACGGGTAAAGAATATATACTCTTAATAGTTTTCTACTATGTGTTTTAAAAGTCTTTTTCAACAGCGCACCAGCAAGGAAGGACTGTTTAATTATACTGTTGTATTATTGTTTGAAGGCACGGGAGTTAGTGCCAGTTATAGGCAACCATGAATATCTTCATGGAAATGTTGATGAATGGTTCGTATTTTTAAAGAAAATCAAAATCATACCTCTTCATAACAAAAATAAGAAGATTTTGGTTGGAAACTCTAGAATTTGCATTGCTGGAAGCGATGATTTGTTTGCAGAACAGTCGAGGTTATTGGTGTTCTCAAATATTTTTTTTTTTTAATTTTAAGTTTATCTCTTGTTGTCGGATGTTTCTTTTATTGTTTATTTTCATTACCACTTTTTATAAAGAAATATTAGTGGTGATTTATATTCAGTAATTTAATTATGGTTCATAAAACGGCTGATATCTTCCGTATGTACAATGCATAATGTATATTGTGACTAGGATATGAGTGGCGAGAGCGAAGTATTTATGATCAATTATGTTTTGTTACATTTAATATTACGGTCTATCGTATTTAAAAAGATTGTCTGCTCACTTTTTGCAGATTTTCTGGGCATGTAATGGATTACAAAAAAGCGTTACGAGGATGCAACAAAAATGACACAACTATTATGCTTATTCACCAACCTAATGCTGTTCGCATAATACTGAATGATGTTGAAACTGCTAAGAACATTGATCTTATTCTGTCAGGTTAATAATAAACGGCGTTTTTTAGTAGGTGATGGAATGATTGTGCAGATCAGTTTTGAAATGTGATGTATTTTACTACACTTTTAGGTCATACACATGGTGGACAAATGTATGTATTCGTACCACTGGTGTATTTTTGGAATGCTTATTTTCGCGGTCTTTATTATAATAAAGCTACAGGAACATATGTTTATGTTTCAGCAGGTGTCAATTATTTTGGTCCACCAGTCAAAATTTTTGATGGGAATGAAATAATTATCATCAAGTTAGTATAGCTGTAGGCTCTTTGCATTAATTGATTTCTTTCTGTTTGACAGCTATGATGCTGAATTATTTCAAATAATGGCGAAATCCATTTTTGTTATGGTCCTGTTGTTCTTCTTTATTAACTCTTTTTGCTCTTTTAATGAAAGGGTCTTTTAATGCAATAAATGAAAGGCTTTGTTATTGGTGCAATTCAGTTATTAATGAGATTTATGTTAATCTCTTTTGCAACTACTTTAGTTTAATATGTATTCTGTTTAATTAAAAAGTCAGCCACAAGGCTTGCTTCTATAAAATTGTATATTTTCCTCAACATGCTATCCTTTACAAATGTTCTTATTATTTGGATTTTTATCAAAATTTAAATGGAAATAAATTGTTAATGACTATTTGCTCTCTGTAGAATTTGGTGGATGTATGATTATACTTTATTATTAAATTTGTAAATGTGGCGTTACCAAAGCTGCTTATCGTAGTTAATTGTGCTGAGCGTTCTCTGTTTCATATTAGTTCCTCAAATGTGGCGAAAAGAATTCATATATAATAAGATTTTGGAGTGAAAAATCAGGTTAGTATAACTGTCTCGTTCCCGATTTTTTTTCCTTTTTATATATATGAGTAGCATTTTCAGTCCATTCGAAGTTGTATTGCTTTGAAGGGAATATTATATAGGAATAGTAGAATAAACAGTGCTATGTTAAGGAATTTTTTTTTCACGTTTGACTTACAACGAAGTCGAACAATTACTGGAACATGTTTTGTTTGGCAAGAAAGGACATTAGTGACATTTACCACTCTGAAGTTTATAATAGTTGTTCAGGAATGTTGTGATGTTTTGTTTGTAAATATCACTATGAAAATGAAAAAGATGCTTCGAAAAACAGCTTATCTGCTCTAAGATTCCTGTGCTGGCTATTTGGTTTTGAAATGGCTTCTTCATCAGACTCAGTATTTGCTTGAGAAATAGAAACTTTCATCCCGAGTGTAACAAGCAGTGTGCTTGTTCTTGGGCCATCCGTCATCAGGAGACCGACTTTGTTTACACAATTTATGAAATTATGACCAGTATTTACGAAGCAAAAGTGCTGGGGAGTGTTGTATGCATTTCTTAAAGCTTCGAAATAAAATGAATTTTTTATCAACCAATATCACTTAGTGCTGTTAGCACCAAATCAATGCTGTCCTTTTTATTATAACGTCTGAGTGGTTCGCAGTTGTGCGTTTGTATAAGGTACCCTTATCGGTTTCAAAAAAGAATCTTTATTTATGATGAGATATGATACTATGTACGCCATAGAAATCAGAAATATTTGAAACTTATCAGATAGCTTCAAAAATCAGAAATACTTGAAACTAATCAAATGACTTCATTCATTGATATTATGTTCCAACGTTCTTCCAGTTTGCTTAAAGTATTCCTTATTAATACTGATTGTTTTGTCTTTTGCTGTGTGTTGTATATAAAAGAATTAAATTTTGCTTAAAAAATGTTGATAATTTATAAAGATTGGATTAATTTGCTGATTAATTTGCAAAAGCTGATAAAATAAGGCAAAAAATACCTCAAAAGTTTGAGTGAGACAGTAACACAGTCTTTTTTGCATATTATAGGGTTACCGAAGTTTATAAAGATATAGCAGCAGTTGTTACTAAAAAGCAATTGTGGAGAGCACATTTCACTAATATAAACTAATAGTTAACTAGAAGTAATTCTATACCTCCTTATAAAATTGAAATTCAGTGATTTTTATCTCCTTTGGAAACAGAATTTTTTTCAGAAGCTTTAAAAACAAGCTTGATGCCATATGTGTTAAAGTTCCTGTGACAAAGAGCGAATGAAAAGTCTTGGAAAGATAGTATTTTCCAACAGAAATTTTAACTCCTAGATCAGATATAACTTTAAAAGTGAATTTAGTATGTTGTGCAATCTATCCAATAGTAGTGATAATCGTATTAAAAATTCGATATTTCTACTAATCTACGATATCATACAGCATTTTTATATCATTATGGATATGAGTGTATTGAAGATTTAAACATTATGGTTGATGGCATATTCAGCGCTTTGCTTGTATATAGAAATGGAACTGCATTATCTAGATGGAAAAAAAAATTAATATCATTCAAGTATGATGATTTAAACATTTCAATTGAATTCGGAATGATTATGTCCTTGAAAGTTGAACTAACTCCATCTGCATCTTCAGACTTATTTTTAACGAATAGCTTAATTTTTAGGTTTTATCAAAAACTGTCGCTATTCAGCAAAGAAGTCGTTCGAAAGTGTGTCTCATAAAACAATTAAAGAACAGCAATTTTTTCATTATTTTTGTTATCAGTGGGTAGATTAGGGTTTGTTCTCTAGCCATTTTTGTAATAGTTACGCTTTTTTCTTTTTTTTTAATTTTATAATAGTTAACTTTTTTTATGAGTGGTTTTAGGTTGTTACTGGAAAGAAATTTTGAGAAACAAGGAAAAAAGATATGAAATGGGCATTTCAAAGCCAACAACAGGGTGATTTGGATTTCATTTCTCAGCTATACTGTTCAATGGGATTAAAAATTTGTATTATTTATTTGAAATTACGTTATAACCTCATGCAGTATCATTTTCCAATACTGTGGAAATACAAGAATGTAATTCATCACCCTTTCCTAGGTCTGTTCCCTAGCCATTTTTTAATTCTTTCCTCTCATGTACGGTAGACAGTTCCAACACTCTTTTTCCTAATCCAATTGCTTTGATCTATGAACCTCGAGCTAAACGAGAAAATTTCTTGCTTTTTCTTAAGAAAGCAAGAAATTTTCTCGTTTAGCTCGAGGTTCAAATTTCTTGAGAAAATTATTCTTGCTATTTGAGTATTGGCAAAGTTACTGTTCCTTAAATTGAATTTCCTTAGAATTTATTTTTTGGTGATTCCCAAACCGACAATGCTAACTCTAAATATTAATTGGTGTTTGAATTCTTATAACAGTTTTCCACTATTTAACAAATTAGTATTCAAGATGCTTTTTTGTTGTGATAAGAAGTACAATTTGGACAACGTTTCAATCTTGTATTTCAGAATAATTTTGAACAAGAATGCAAGATGATTTGGCATATTTGAATGAATATGTCTCTGCTTCACACCCAAATATGGACTGGAAATTGAATAACATCAATTCATTTACTCTGCACTGCGTCTAACATTTTAGAGTTTTCACTGACCAAAGGAAATACCACCTTTCAAGCTGCATTATTTTGATATAATGGGATGAGCAGACGCAATCCGCTTAATATTTGCGCAAACTGGGATTCCTTTGGTTGGCCCTACAAATACAAATCAAGTAAGTAGATGATTTTTTAAAAACAATTCATATTACTAGGTATCCAGCAACCTTCTAACACTCTTTGCTAAGAGTTATGTATGTATTAGCTGAAAAGGTGTTGATTTAATTTAGAGATGTCATTTGAAGTAGTTCTGGAAGTAGATGGTAAAATGTTGTTTCAGTCTACTGCTCCTCGCTCTTTATCTCACTAAAAACTTTGGTTGATCCTGCGTTATTTGTGAAACTAAGATATGTGTGGTATTCGAAATTTTATGTGTTTTTCATTTTAATGTGATTCCAAAACATTAATAAAAGTTAAAACAGAAATTCGGTTGGAGAAAATGAATGAGTATTTGTCCAGGTGGAAGAACTGTTTGGTGTAGCCAGATCTCATGACATATGCATTGCCTTGGTTTAAATGTGAAGATGCTGCTAAAAAGGTTGCCTTCGATTTCAGTATAATCATTTGTTGTAAACTGATTGAAAATAAAGTACTAACAAACTTATAAGTATGTTTTTTGCAGTTGATAAAAATAGCACAGTAGTGCCTATAGATCCTAGTAAAATCCCTAGCAGTTTCTTTTTTCCATTTTTTTAGTGATTCATTTACACAGAATAATTTTCAGAGGAACCTAATGGCTGCATTTGAAACACAGCTTCGACATTCAGATGGCTGGAAGGCATCCTAGTCAGAAAAGGTACCGTTTATTTTGTTGGCGAAAATTTTGTGATGCATTATCTCAGTCCACAAAAAGTTCTATATTTGCTGGGTTCCTTAAAGAATTACTGATGAATACGAATCGATGGAACTGAACAAATTTCACAAATAACCGCAAAAGAACACTTACTCGATTTTTACAGCTAGCGGTTGCGGATTTGAACATGTTATGCATGGTTGGACTCTTCAGTTCGCTATTTCCAAATTCAACCGCTCAGCTAACACATTTGAATAGTTTCAAGGTTCGAATGATAAAATTGCCAGAAAATCAAGGAATGGATTGAAAGCAGATCTAAGACTGATTTCTAAAAGGGTTTATCATTCCGTGTTCTTTACAAATACATTTGTAATAATCTTGCAACTAAAAATTGCTGTTGAAAACAAAGGACAATCGTTCTCACAATGTTTACTTGATTTGAATCTTTACTTTTATTTAAAGAAGCAAAGGTCAGCAATACTTAATTGCAACTGTTGTGTTTATGGCACTATTAACAACACTGGATGGTTCTCCAGTTTTTATTCCTCCTGACTGCATTTCTGGTTTTCTTCATCTGCACATGTACTCCATAACATATACTCTTTTATATCCGATGAGTCATACACCAGTCTTTTGAAAACGCATAAAAGAAAAGATTTATGAATAGTTTGTGCATCCGTTTCCATCGGATGCACAAACTAGAAAATGAAGAATATTCTCCATAATTCTCAGTTCTCTTTTACGTAAGACTCAGTTCCAGATTTTATCAAAAAGTTACATTTAAATCGGAACAGGAAATTGTAGCCTAACCAATTTGCATTATTTCATAAATAGATTACTTGTATTATTTAGGACTAACTTTCCAAGCCTCGGCACTTCGACTCCCATCTTATACATTGTAGTAGAATGTGAAAAAAATCCCATAACTGTCTATACACGCATCCAAAATTTGTGTTACGTATAATCTCGTGGAAATATCATTAAATATTTACTCAACCCTACCCTTCAAAAGAGTATCTTCAGATTATATATATTTTACAACTGACCTTTCCATATTATATCCAAATATGTTTGTTTTTCAAGGAAAATTTATTCATAAAAACAAAAACAAGACTTTGAATCTAGGATTAAAGGATTTAACATGATGTTGCCGAAGCTTATACCAGCCATCTCCAGATAAGAGCGGTAAATAAATTCAGCAAAATATGAATATTGAGGTAACTGTTCAGCATAATGAAACAGGGTACATAATGCTTATTCAAAATCATCAGCTAGTTTACTGGATGAAGCAATGACACTTCAACTGAAGTTAAAAGATATTGCATATATAGATAAATAATGATGCAGACCCACTAGAACTTATTAAAATTTTTATATTGCTCCACAGAATTATAAGATATTTCAATAGAGAAACTATCAACAGTAGCTGGAACTTATGAAGAAATAGCAAAATTAATCGATCAATCCATATATGCAAGAATTACAAAGACATCAGCTTTTTCGATGTATTACACTTGATCAGGAACATTAAAAATAACATAAGAGTGCAAGAAAAAAACAAACATAATAAATCAACTGGATGCATTTTAAATAAAAAAAAAGTGTGTTAAAGAGTCTTTGGAATACCAAGGAAAAATTCTGCAATTCCTGTATAATACACCATTTGGGCAATACCAAAAAGAGGAGCCATTACCAACATCCGACACACCGCACCCTTAAATAACGCACGTGGACCTTCATGTCGTAATATTTTCCTAGAAAAGCATTTTGTTAAAAAAAAATTAGGCAAGAAAACACCCAACAAATTTGAGCATATTACTAGTAGCAGGTACATACATGAAAGCATCACAAATATTCTGATATTCTGCTTCACCCTCACCACGACTGATCAGTTGCATGCGTGTTTTGATTACTGAAATTTCAAACAGCATAACAGCTTTGAAAAAGGATTGTAGATAACTGCGTAAGCAGATGGGCATACAGAAACATCACTGAGCGATGAACTTGATAATATCTTGCAGTGTTGAACAACACTATGCCCCATTTTCCAGAAATAAATTTATGAAAGGTTCAAAATACAGAGAAAACAGAAAGAATTGAATAAACTAGCCACAACTTAGCATTCGGAAATTACATCTCAGCAAAAGAACTGTAATAATTTTACAGATCTGTCAAACCCACCATCTAATGGCGTTACAGAAAACGAGCTGAAAGCAGCTGCTGTCAAACCAGCAGAAAATGAAGAGTAAAATACAGTGACTCCACTTCCATCACTAGAACGAGGGCCCTAAAAAGTAATATTCACAGAAACAGAAAAAGTACAAATTAAAATAAAATAAAACTACTAGAATGTTGGTGATAAATGCAATAGAGGTTATTAAAAATGAGAGATCATACCAACCAAACTGTTCAAATATGCAAATGACGGAAAGTATAGCACGGAGAATGAGACATCACGAACCATTGTTGGAGCAATACCCTTATAAAGGCCAAAAATACCTCGTTTTCTTAACAAATCCATTGTCAAACCAATTGCAGATAATTTTTTTGGTTCCGTTTGACCTTAAACAATCTTTTTCCTACTCTGAAAAAGCCAAAACAAACCGCACAAAAACAAAGAGTGAAAGCCTGGCAAATGAAAACTTCCTGGAGTGACCAAACAAAATAGACCTGTCGTTCTTCCTGCATCTTGCATTTGAATTTTAAGAAGTTCCATTGGCGTTGTAACGATGATCTGACAAAATCCTGCTCCTCCACCAGCTATCATCCCTCTTACTAGAGGCAACTGTTCTTGATATGGTACAGCAAGGTGAAATCGGAAAAAATCATTTGCAACTAGCTTTATAGCCTTTTCAGGAGTTATAAGTAACAAATTCACTCCAACTCCAGAATAAATTCCTCGTATTTTTGCGAAAACAGTTCTTCCTCCATGATGCCACGTTTGTTTTGCACAGTCAATTCTCCAAAAAAAAAATTGTGCTTCAAAACGAGAATATCAAAAGTAAAAGATCAAACTCAAAACACAATAAATTACTTTAAGTATTAATTTTAATCAAATGTGCTCCACAATACTTCAGCAATGAAAATATTATTCAATAATGAAAGTGTTAAAAATGACAAAAGGACGAAAAACTGACTTACATCCCCTTATATTGAATTCTTCCGTTGCCAGTAACTCTTTGATTTTGCAGACGGGTTTTCACAAGATCAATTGGAAAAACGCATGCTATGCCTATTATACCAGCGATTCCACCGTTTATGACTTTGGGCAAGTACCTAAGGAGTTAATTTTCTTAAATAAAATTTTGTTTACAATTTGTACAGCATTAAACATCGAAATGGATAGTAAACTGATTTCCCAGACGATACACTGAAGTTGATAAAACCCAAGTTAGTCCAACCTAAAAATAGAAAAACGACAAAAAACATACGCAAAACTTTGCGAAGAGTTCGATATTTGTGCTTTATCCATACTCTAAGACAAGGAGGAAAATGAAGTAACTGAAATGATAAAGATGTGGTTACTGCAAGAAGCACCTCTAAGAATCATTTTTTGCTTATTTGTCTGATTCTAGATCTTTGTTTGCGAACAAAACTTCCTTCAGTCTTCCAAATGATTTCTAAAATTAGTTTTCAAAATCCAATTTTTATAAGAATATTGGAAGACTATAACAGACAAAATATCCAGTGAAGGTTAAACTAGATTTCCTTATATTTATCCTTTTTAAAGATACACTACATAGTTCAGGGTGTATGTGTAATAGAAAGAGATGTAACCATCCTATCAATAGTACTGTTCCATGAAAACCATAAAAATCGACAGATACAATTGGTTAAACTAATTAAATGATCATATTTTGATTGCATCGATCAGAGTGAAACTCTCATTAAGAAGCAAATGTTGTAGTAATAGCTTTTTTAAACGAGTATTCAACTATGCCTAATGGTTCTAGGTCCAATAGTTTTTTTTAACAGGATAAAATAGACAAATGAAGAATGCGAAATTTGAATCGGATGGCGTACCTTACTTTTCATGAAAGCAATTTGAAAATTAAATGAAATGAAAAATGCATACGCAGTGTTTTCGGCATATGAATGTTAGGATTTCCTTGATAATCCCGCCAGACGATATCACCTTTCAATTGCTGCAATCAATTTAGCTTGGTGAAACAGTTGCTTACACCTGAAAACAGATACAGAAAAGAAAAAAAAAAAAAGTTAAAATGATGTTGTAAAAATGCTTAAACCTTCCTACAACAAAAAATTTTGTAATGAATACTAAAAAATAATATATCGTCTTAATAAGCAACCAGCATAATAACACAGACGTCGTTAACCTGGTATTATTCTGGCTGTCAGAGATACCTAAGAGCCGAAATCACAGCATCCTGCTGAAATGCAGTAGACTTATTCCAAATCAAGTGACTTTTCATTCCGTAGAGAACATATCTACATCAGCTAACGAATGAAATATAAATGGAAACAAGTTCAACTGTTCCGGAAAATTTTAACAACATATTCATCATATTTAGTGAAAAAATACGTAAACTGACGCAGAAAGTGTTCTTAGTATTTACTGCCCTGAACGAGCAAGTAGTCCATTCAATTCCATTAAAACGGTGAACAATCATAAAAACCTGCCAATTGCCCCGTCATTATGTTCTGTAGAGTTACGAATAGTTAACCCCCTTTTCGCTATGGATACTTTTGCAGTTATTGTGATCAGTATTCCATTGAGATGGCAAGTTAACCACATTTTCTGTCCAAATTATAACGAACTGTTAGTTGGAACCATTTAACAGAAACTATTGACTTCATCAAAAAAAAAAAAATCATCTCATAAAGGCTTCGGACAACAGAAACCAAATCATCCTTTTAATACGAATGTATCACCCTAAGTAGTCCTCCTCCTATTTCACATGAAATCAAACACTTGTACAAAGCATAGCATGTGTATATTAATGCAGTAAACATCCCGAATACTCGAACATTCCTACAACAGGAATGTCGGAGACGACATGCCAACTCCGTGGAATTTACAACACAATCACTGAACCTTTACATGATAAGCAGCACCCAATAAAGCAATAATTGTCAGTGATTTATTAATATGGTATGTTTTCCGTACAGTCTACATTATAATTCAAGATTTTTTTTTTATTAATCATTACCAAGCATCAGAAAAGCAGGGTTTCAGATCAGTGAGCCAAAAGAACCCGCAACAGTGTGACTGTACAACATCATATATATATATATATATATCAAATGAACATCGATGATAATGCCATTATTCGATACAATGGAAATGAAGTATTTTGCTTTAAACTTTATCTCAGATACTAATTTGTGCAACGGAACTTACAAGAATTTCCAGTAAAATGAAAATTTTTGGTACATATCTACATCCTTTCTTTCACCTCTAATTTAATTTGGAATGAGACAAATTTAGTATTATAGTGTAGAGCTACATATTTAGTGGAACTTTATATTAATAAGAGGGTTCAACTGGCAAACATTGAACATTTTGTTGTTTTATATTATTAAACAAGCATCTGTAATACAAAAATAAAAATACATTTAATCTATGTTATCCTATACATTATTATAATGAAAAGGAGACAATGAAAACGAGAATGATTCATCTCTAATAACCAATTTATAAAAGAAATGATGGTAGGCAAACATGAATTTATATCGAAAAGATACTCTTGTCTAAAACACGTTTATTAAAAAATAATGTCCAAGAAATGAAAGGCTCAAACAACGTGCAACGACTGATAAAATATAAATTATTGTTGAAATCGGTCTGAAATTAGAGGTGTTAAGTGAAAACGGATGTACTTTTCATGCATAGCAAGAGCGAACATTATTTACAAAACTCCATAACCAAAAAATATAGCTCCTTCATCTTTGTAAAAGTTTTCGCAAGCAAAATTTATATATATATATATATATTATATTGAGATTCAATATGCAAACATAACCGACAATGTTGGTGAAAGTAAGATTAATTAAGGCCAATCAACCCTGAAGGCTAGCCACTTTATTTGAAAAACAATGCTCTCATTAGACTTAATATTTTACACTAAATATTACACTTCTAGTGGTGATTAAGTATCAACAACAACACCAGGTTGTTCAATTCCTAGCTGTGAATCGATCAACCGAATTTTCGCTCTTTCCGACACACCTGCCAAAACAGTTAATACACGCACACATATGCTATTCAACAGAACGCTTGTCGCAAAAACTCCGCCAACTGCAGAACACAAACGTATAAGCATTTGCAGCAGTGAGCTATAATGAAAAAATACATAACACTATATTACGCCTGTTAATGTAACTGTGGGTATTTTAAAGTTAATGAATTCAAAGAATCTACAGAAATCTTGCTATGGAATACCAGCAGAATAAAACATAAAAAAGGGAAAATGAATTCTGTATTGTTTCAGATATGATGAAAGACTTACGATTGAATACGCCTAACTTCAATAACTGTTGCCGCAAATTCATAATGAATAACGATAGCTGCATGCTTATGCACGTCTTTTTTTGGTGTTTTTTTCTGTAAAAGTATATTTGACTAATGAGTAGAAAAAAGAAACTGCGAAAACATAAATTCATTGAATACTGCCACAGCAAACCACTTCAACCTCATATACAAAAAAGACCTGGGACCTTTGAATAAAAAGTTATGACTCGGAAGATATTTAAAAAAAAGAATACCGTAAATGCAATCAAACAACATATTATTGAAATCGAGATTCAAATTTTAAATAAATCAATTCAAAAACGAATTGATAGAAATCTGTTCCACAAAAATGTTTTTAAGTAATTTAAAGTAATTTAAAATTACTCTTGTAAAGTCAAACCATGAATGTCACGGAATATTGATATGTAAGTGTAGAGCCACCAAAAAGACCACTATGATATATTCTTGTAGGCACAACCTTCAAAAAATAACGAAATTCGTCTATACCTGAAAGGACACTAGCACAAAATTGATAGGTTCTACTACTTTAGAAAGAAGAAATATGTAAGGCATAAATGACTACATTGATAAGCATTAAAACTTATTTTTTAAGTAGCTTATAAAAAACAAATATTGAAAAAGAAATAACTCATAAAACAGAACCGACCTGCTGCATAAAATAAGCTTAAACCTTACCTGTTTCAGAAATCTGCTCTATTCCTGCTAGAGGAGTCACAAGACCATATATGGTGGGACCAAAATTGAAGCGCTCAATTCGATGAGAAAGATTACCAGCTAGAAAGAAAAAACTGCATTTGTTGGTAGCTATTAGTTATTTAAGAATCACAATCTACCATTCAAAGCAGCTCGTTGATGTTATTGATGTATCCGTTTGATGAAAATTATCATTAATAACTTTAATATCACTTAGCCACATAAACAAGGCAATAATGAGTTCTCATAATGGATATTTTTGTATCAGCAAATAACAAACTACAATAGTTAATTTAAACGATGCAGAAAAACATAGTAACATACTTCCGAATTTACACCATATAAAAAACTTACGGTTGGAAACTCCACCAAAATGAGCAAAAATGCCATCGACGCCTAGTCCTTTACCAGTGCTAACAACAAAACTATCACCTTTGACTTTGTTGACACGCATACGACCATGTATCCGGCAAGCAGTGCCTTCATTCTTTTCTGAGTTACCTATAACCGATAAAACATTTATAATTAAAAATTTTTTTCTCAAAACGTCCTTCTGCAAGAAAAAAAAAAAGGTGCAATGTATTCGTGCTACACTTTTCACCTTTTCCAAAGAAATAGTAAATAAAACAAGAGACTTTTTTAATTCCTATTTTAACTCTATTCAATACTAAAATCAAATTCTTAACCAAAAACGAAGCCGTTATTATTCTTTAACTTTTTTTGCTTTTTTGAAGTTTGATCAAATAAGGCTTACTTGCAACAACATGAAATACGTTAAATCCGTTTCCAATTAATATCAACATCCCACCGTCCATGGACTCCTTTGGGTTTTTCTTCTTCTCCAACTGTATCGCATGCGCTTCTTCTCGTTGCTTTGTTTCTGCTTCATTTTTCAAACCCTCCTCCACTTGTCCGCTGATAAAAGTCATCTACAGAATCCCAACAATGTTCAGTAAACAAATATTGTAAAAATGACAATAATTAATTTACGAGTTGATTACATCAACGGGGCGAGACCTTTTTTCTTAAAGTCCAACTGTGTCATTCTCAAAACAAATAGAATTACTTCATCAAGACTCTTAAACAAAGTGGTTCCTTCTTTGGTACGATGCTGCACTTTCTTCAGTTCATTCCAATACATTGCTTCTTTCTCCGTAAATTCGAAGCGGGTTGGATCATGTTTGAATTCATTCATAGAACTGAATTCGTGTGACGTAGTACCCGTGAGATGTGCCATCAAATTCGTGCAAGGAGTTGCAACTATCATATCCAATTCCAATTCAGGATGCCTGAACATGAGAAGAAAAGGTATCCAAACTATTTCTGAATTTTATCCAACAGCGCATAACAGCATGAACAGAAATATTACAGTTACAATGAAAAGAAATCTACTTACTCACTGAAAGCTGTGTCCACTGAGAATCTATAATAATGTCCTTCGTCACCGTAAAAATAATTTCGTAACTCGCCAAAGACTAATGCTGCGATGATGAGGAATGATAAACTTGCAACTGTAAAACTAGTGTTACGTAGGAGTAATCAAACGAAAAAGTCAACGATACATAAACAACAAGCCCCTGCTCGAATTTTTCTTAACTAAGCTAAAATTAAGGTCCTGCAACAGAATGTGACCAAAATTAGCATTAAAATGCTTCTAATAAAAAAAGGTTGCGCATGAAGCAATACCAAACATAAAAAACATAACACTCTGAAAATATTTGAATGTGCACATCTTGCCGTCCAATCGACCAATCAATTTCTAAGCTAAGATTTAGTTTGTCGATTTTATTTCATTTGCTAACCAATCTAAAAAACGTCGATATCGCCACATATCAAATTAATTTTTGGAAGTAACTAAATAAACTATTCTTTGAAAACTCCATACATGCATTTTTCTAGCCACATGGAAGTGAGAAAGTAATCAGAAATGGTAGGTAATTTTGAAAGTAACTCACGGAATCCACCAGCAGCTCGCTTCTCCTCACTAACTTCATCCACTGTCTTGTTAAAAGCATCGAAATCTCGGACAACTTCCTGAACCGTTGGACGTCTATGGCGAATTGTTGTATTCGATGACAGCAATGACATACTCACATCCATTTTAAAAGTAACTCAATCGCCAGCGATCTTCCGAAGTTGTTTTGATGATATCCCAATATGAAAGCCAGTGTGTTCTATGGAGAATGTGTAAGACTATAACGAGAATGGAGATAAAAGAAGTGTATCGAGATGCAAGAGATAGAAGAGACAACGAAACATGGAAATTACATAAATTTATTCTTGGTAAGTCGGTTCTAGACCGGCAGTATTTTTTGTGAGCGGTTGTGGAGGATCTAGGTACGTGGTGTCAACAACAACATTATTTGTGGTGAGACGAGTTAACAAGGCGATCTGTCTGCTCTTCAACTCTAAAATAGAGTTGTGGTGATACGCAGCGTGCAGTGTATACAAACTGCAACATTATAGGCTCACAGTGTTATCAGTTCGCCATTATAAAACGGCTATGATTATATTACGTATTCAGGTAAATTACTGGTAAGAATACACGTAAGTTGCTGTGAAGTGTAATGTTTTCCATTATGAAGTAAAGAAGAGTGTGAAGTTTGCGCGATAAACTACAGAGTGAGCCTTAAGTAATGACGGTTTCAAAACAAGGGCAAAATTTTAACGCTACTTCAGGTAGTTGTTGACGGTTGCATTGTACAAAGACGTAATAAAGTAGAACAATTTGATTTGGATTTATTTAAACATACAGTACTGCCAAGACACTTCAGTGACACGATAACATGGATATTACATTTGGAAAAATTAGTTAAACATTAAACATCTAGAAATTAATCACTTTAGAATCGATTCCTTTTTTATTTTTTTAAAATAACATTATATGTTAGAATGAAACCTGATTAGAAGCTAAATGGAGTTGTTTTTACTTCGCTGATAAACATAAAAACCATAAAATATTCGGTCAAATTAAAATTCTGGTTACTACAAAATTTAAGGCTTCACAGTCCCAAATCTGAACATTTCACATCCTTATTCTTTTATTGAGTAGGTTACTCAGCTTTTAAACGTATTGTTCAGTTATCAGTCTAAAAATAGCGCTTACTAGCTGAGAAAGTCCTTTGTTTTCATCGTGCGGTAACTGACTTCTTTTTTACGGCTTTAATAACTTTTAACAAAAAATGTTCAATTCTTGGCGTGGCAATTTCATCGATCCATTGAAATTTGCGATGTAAATAATCAATATGTGGCTTCATGTAAGGGCCCCAATCAGGTACAATATTAACCAGCCATTCCAATTCGCTGAATGAGCGTATCGAATGTACAAGTGTTTGAGCTACTTGAGCTGTTTGATCTGTTTCTGTCGAAAATAATAGTTTACGCTCTATCAGTGGCATATCAGCGATTTCCTTCCAAAATAATGCTCGGAATTTCTTGTTATACAGTAGTGTGAACTCATTCTGTAATAATTTTCATCATTAATTTCAAAAAAAAAAAAAAAAAGAAATGGAAATCAGCAGTACAAAAGCAATCGATAAAAGGAGATGGAGCAATTACATGTAGTTGACTAGAATCATTGAAGTGTCATTAGGAAATAACTACTCATATATTAGAAAGAATATTTCCTCTTATTAGGAGGTGCGCAATTTTTGCAAAAATCTCACGGAAACATCAAAACAATCGCAGTTATTGTGTCAATATCTCCACCTATTATGCATGTAGCTATTCCTGAAAGTTGCATTTATTTTGAACTAGGAATTTAAAATAAGAGCAGTTCTTTAAGATATAAGTGAAGGGGAATCATTTTGTTATATTATTAGTAGTATAGGATTGTATTATCTCTCTGTGATGACGTTGTGTAAATTATCTTTTTGAATTTCCGTTCAACATTCTTTTTAAATTCAAACATTGAAAATACGACATCGGTTCTGTATCATAATTAAGAATCTGTATCGTAATGTGCGATATCCAGACGATAAATTTCTTCTAGAAAACGTCTAATTGTATCGACTACTCACTGTTAAAATATCTGTGTCTTCTCCATACCTTTATTGCTATGAATTGTCGCCTCAGATTAAGATGCTTAGTTATATTTCTCCTGAAGTAAAAATGTCTTTTCTGATCATTCGGAGGAAAAATAAATTTACAGCGGGAAAGGAACGGTCGTATTTTCTCTCTTTCCCAACGTAATACGTCAAGAAACAGCTGGGAGGATTCCCGACTGTGATGAATCTAACATATTAAAATCCCATCTCATATCCATTTTTTCAAATCTTAAATCAATGTCTCTAAAATATTTGTAAATTAGATTCATGAATACCTACAAATTAGACCTAAGATATTCCTTAACAATTTAGCAAAAAGCTAACATGGAATATATGATATTCAATAACTAGCGAATAAGAAACATGTCCGTAACATCATGAATGGATACATTTCATTATTGGGAGTATGAAACATTGCCACTTCAAAGTACAATTTGTGTAATTTCATTTCTTCGTGAAAAGTCATGTCACTTAAAAAGGTGGAATTTCATAAAGTTACCTGCAGCATAGCAGTATAAACAGCTGCATTTCGTGTTGCAATGATCTGACTTGCAACTTTCTTGAGAATATGTTCATTGCGTACACATGTCGCCAGTTGTATTGTGGTCGTCCATTTACCGCTGAACTGCTTTAAACCATTTTCAACCACATCATGTCCATCTTTGGTACCTTGAGTGAATAAATGATGGCAAATAGCAGTCATTTGCGAGTAGTGGTCACCTTTTGTCAAACCACCCGATTTTAACCATTGCTGTACCTAGCAAAAAATTTAATCTCTGCTAGGTGAACTTTGGAGTTATACTGGCATTATGGAATTAGCAAATTAATGAAACGATATTAATTTTCCTCAAGTCTCGAGAGAAGGAATTTAAAATGATGATGCTTTTTACTGCTAAAGTGACCTTGTGTTCTGGATCACATGTTGACAAATTCACCGCACATCGAAGTTTATAAAACTGGATAAGTCGGTTTGCATCAAGTAACCATAATGCGGCTAACTCAGGTTTTGCCTTCGTATCATCCATTACTTTATTAAGCCATTCAGTGACCTAAATGTTTTCTTTGGCTGAAAAGTGAATAAAAATTTAGTCTGATCTTTGAAACACATTAACCAACTTTACTTTCCGTATGTGACATCAGCTTCGTCATTTTAGATCTTATTAATTTCTATGGAATTAATATATATTATATAAAGGTTATATCTGGACTTCTCTTAGGAATAGTAAAAGCAAATTGTTGATTGAACTTCCGCGAAACATGTCGAAAAAGCGGTATAATGCATCCAGGCCAAATAATAAAAGACCAACATCATTTTCTTTGGTCAAATAGCTGAAATATTTCCCGCGATAATCTTTCCGAACACCGACGAAGATTCGGGAAATATTCACTATGAAAACCCATATGAATGTGTTATATAGTGCTTACCTTAAAATGTACAGGTAGAGTTCGGGAACGCTCGACTGTTTAAGGTAGAATTCGGAATCGAGTATCAATTGTATGCGGGAATATAATGGTATGGATAAATGATTTTCATGTAGCTAAAAAAATTTTTCTTTCATTTCATTACTTTGAGAAATTCTTTTTAGATTTTAGCAAAGTTTTGGGCAATTATCTCCTACCAGTTTTGCTAACATTTTCCAGTTTTCAATATCATAGTTGACACGATATGGATATTTCCAGTTAACATTTGCCAGAAGTGCTGCTGAAGTCTGGTATTTCTTATCCGTGAGCACCACAGTCTTGTTGTGTAGCCAGAATTCTCTTATTGTATCAGCTAAAAATTTACCAACAAAAAATTTATATTTGTATACATTTTTCTTTGTACACAAAAATATACTTTTTTCTTACCAAAAACATTCGTTTTGGAGCTTAGCTGATAACTGAAAGGTATTGACCAGAATTGCTTTTCTCGAACTGATCGCCGATTTTCTTTTATTTTCCGATAATGCCGCTCTTTTTTTCTACTAATAGACTGATCACCATCGACCTGAATTTTTAAGAAATTTTTTGCTCAAAAAACTCTTCTTTCAGTACGGAAACAACCCAGTTTAATAAAACCTACAAATCTGTGGAAGAGACTAACTATCTGTTTGCTTTTAGCTGCTTGCTTCTTCGAATTGGTCCATATATTTTCAATACTACGTTGTTTGTTTACAGACTCAACGTAAAAATATGATTTTTCATTGGCGTTTCCAACTTCAATTTTTTTCGATCTACCTGAAAAAATTTTTATAATGAAAACTCAAAGTTAAGTTCCTTACTTACACACAAAATTGTGAAAGCTAGTGAATAAAATGCATGAGAAGTTACCTGTATCATGATTCTTTATTCTTGATCCAGCGGGAAACTTACCTATCCATTTCTTCATCCTTACTTTTTTAATGGTTTCTTTGGAATACTTTACATTATAATGCCTTGTACTAGCACCTCGTAAATAAGTGACGTAACGATTTTGATCGGATGGTCGTGGGATAAGACGTATACTGCCATAGTCATAATTTCGACTTAAATCAGGTTCACTTCAGAAAATATTCACGACTAATCTTTTCGGAATATTTGGAAAAGAAGTTAACCTAGGTAAAAAAAGAAAATATGAATAGCATTTGTAATAATCATGGAAGTATAATAAAAAGTAAAAGTCATTTTGACTACACAGTATATAAGCAAGCTTGAAATTGATAACATGCAGCATAGTTAGGAGAACGTATAAACTGGAGAAATGAAAACGAAATTTAATATTCCAATAGAAACACAGTTGAACTCTCCTGTCTTTTTGCATTTAATAATGACAGTAAGAACAATTTACGGAAATAAAGATGAATAGTATAAAAGATGGATAGACTAGAAATAGAAAAAAGATCATTCTGAAATTTCTTCAGTTACCTTGCAGGGGCTTCAAAATAACGCATGCTTCTCTTCAAGTTTTATTTACTCACCTCACCAACACTTCAGGCATCCCATCGTTAAGAAGCCACGGTTCAATAACATTTTCAAGCTTCTTGTTTTGCAAGCCATGGTCAGTATATGCAGGCATTGCCTTCCACAGTGCTGATCGTCCAATACTTTTGTAGGCGTTTGTTTTTAAAAATCTGAATACACAGGAAAAATTTTTATAGACCTCACATGATTAGGTAAATTAAGACTATGTTATGGTTTCAAAAACACGTAGATTTACCTCCTAACACCTTCACGGAAGTTATCCTTACCAACCAGATCGCACATCATCTTAACAATAACAGCTCCTTTCGTATATAAATGGTACGGATTGAAAGCATTTTCTACTTCCTCTTCTGTTTTGAAAACTTTTACTAGCGCTACCTTCTCACTTGAAGTCTGCAACAACCTAGTTAAGCAATGGAACACAGTAGAAGTAAGAAAATAGAAATTGTTCTGAAAAAAGTGAGACAGAAGTAAAGATTTAAGTAACCTGTCTTGACAGTAACTGAGAAAGGCGGAGAAAGTATTCGTTAGTGGCTAGAATTGGACGCTGTTTTTTCAGTAAATAATTTACATAGTAGGATGCAAATCCTTCACTTAACCAAAGCTCGGACCAATCATTTATTGTGACCAAATTTCCAAACCTGGTGGTATTAATAAATTGAAATTACTTCATTTATTTATTGAATCAGTGTGAACTTCAAACATTTACCATTGATGAACAAGTTCATGTGTAATAATTTTTTCGATATCATACTGTTCAGCCAGTAAATCCACTGTCATATTTGCGCTACCTCAACGATAATCATCAAATACCATTGATCAAAGTGAAATTTATTTTGAATTTAAAGTGAAATATATGCTTGAATGCAATACTGAACAGTTTCCTATCCATGAATGATCAATATACAATTTCTTTTAAATTTACTTTCGAGCAATGAATCTAGTAAAAATAACTCCTTCTGGAATACAATTAGTCCCCAGTTTTCCATACCGCTAACCGGAAATGAATGAGCAGCCACAAAATCGATTTTTGAAAGAGGATAAGGAACCTGAAAACATATAAAAACTTTTTTTGTATAGATCTAGGCTTTTAAATTAGCATAATCGAATCGATCAAATAATTCATTTCATTTCAGTTTAATTCACCTCGGTCCAAGTTGATTTTTTTTTTTTTTCACACTGATTCATCATTCAGAATTATTTAACATGAGAAACCCTGTCTCTCAGGCGAATGTTTATGTAGCTGTTTATGTAACTACCAACATCAAATTTTACATTAGATTTCTGTCATTTTGATTGCAACTTACAACGAACTCTTTTGCAAGTTGATCAAACATATAAGGAGAAAAGTTTGCAGCAAATTTTGCATAGACGAGATCTTCTGGAAATGTCCATATAGTAAGTGGCACATCATATCCGGTGCTTCTCTCTAAGTTGCTGTATGGACCTTAAATACTTATAACCTATTCAATCTCACTGTTATTTGAGTAATTCAACGTAGTTTTGTTTTTTGGCTCTAAAAATTCCATTTATTATTTAAACACTTGAATAGAAATTTAAATGGAGAATTTATACTGCGTAGCTAAGTGTATGAATTATACAGTTTAAAAGAAACCAAAAGCAAATGCGAGTAAAAACGCTGGAATTGGTGGTGTTTCTCGGAATGTTGTGCGAACAAAAGAATGTCGTTGCTTTTGAATGAAATGAAGTGGTGCCGCATTTGTTAAAACCGTAATCGAAGTTGAATGTAGTATGGTGATATTGTATATAGCCTTTAAAAAAAAGTATATTAAGAAGTTATCTGAGATTTACAACAGAAATTTCTACTTCTATTGTTGTGATTTCAATGACGTTTGAAAATGGTAATCCTGAATACTATCTGAAGCTTTTAAAATTTCACAATAATACACTAAATGTATGCCAAAACCTTCCAAACATTTATGAAATGATTATTTTTTACCAGACTGTGTTCACTAAATTGTTCAATTTTTTGTTATGTACTTGAATTGCAAACATTTACGAATGTTTTGGAAAAATTATTGCAAGCATAATACCTTCCAACTTGGTTCATCCCAACATGGAAAAAAAGTCCTGGCCAATAATGGCTGAAATCTCGTAGTAAAACTGATTATTGGTAAATGATGATTTCTTGGTAACGAATTAACATCCTGAAATATTAAATGACACACTTATAAACTTACACAGTTTAACTAGCATTTAAAATAACGAAAAAAGTAATAATTGGATATTTATTAGAAAATTCTAAAAGGAGGGTGTAATGGATGGATAAACATAATTATTTCCTTTTCATAGATGTGTTATTTATACCGTATCACGTTATTTCAGAGAGAATAAAAAAATTTATCTTTAAATATTGGCATATTTTTATGAAATATGCAAGTACTTCTTACTTGTCTTATACCGCGATAACAGTGCACTCCGCCACTATTGTCTTTGCAAATCTTTGTAACAAACTGCATTTCGAGCATATACCTAAGTAAACAATTTATAATCAATCGTATTTTACTGTCAGGTAGACAGTATTTTCCTTTTAATGTCTCACTTTTTTTTTTCTTTCTCACAAAAATTCTTCTGTATGCTCTTTTAGAGAGTCTTAATACCATTAAAAAAGCGAACCATCCATTTTTCAAAGGTTGTTCGAGTTGAAGTCGAATTACCTTAGCACGATGCTCTCGTTTAAATCTCTCTATCCTAACAACCTTTCCTGAAAGATTACAATAAATGATCTGTTATCTATATTTATGAACCACTGGTGCGATAACTGAATATTTTATATTCAGAAACATGCTGCAAAAAGTGAGCGATAATTCGTAAATTGGTTTTATCAAGATTAGAACAGAAAGAAGACAAACCTTGATGAAGTAAACGTACTCCATCGATATGTACATTTGCTGCTGCATGAAAGGCAACTTCATGGAGTGTTGTAGAATTGACATATGATTTAAGAAGTATCGATATATTGCCAGAAATTTGTTCTTTTGAGACTACGTTCGTAAAATCTAACTGAACACAAACGTATTAATTAGTCTTTATATTATCAGAATTACTGCAAAACGCAATAAGCTAAAGAAGACTAAAATTTGAGAAACTTAAATTTCATGCTACTAGAACAACCTGTGAATAAAACAGTTGAAAGGATTTGCAATAATTCTTAAGAAATACTTTACAAACTATCTGATTTAATTAATTTAAAAGCGTTATTATTCACATTATGCCTATTTATGTTCATTCATCTTAGTATTAGCGGTTTAAAATTCTTTTTATTCTATTACGTAAGATCGTGAAAACTTTAAAAAAAGAATGAAATGAGGTACCTGTAGATCATAATGTTCAGGTTGAAGTGCTCTAGGTAATCTTATCAAAGGTACTTTTCGATGTTTCTGCGCTGTAGCAGAACTCAGAGAGAAATGAAGTGCCCATGGAGTGATAGAATTTGATAAAGGTGGATATACACTCAATAACGTAATATTTTTCATCACCGCCTCTTCGCTGTTCTCCTAATATTTATTTAAAAATTCAGATCAGATAGCACAAATATGGAAAATGTTGTCTTCTACGTTTATTTGATATTTGTAAAAAATCTTTGAAACTTACTTATACTTGAAATCTAATTTATAATAAATGATAATTCTGCTCTTAGCTTAACTAACGGGTAGATTAAAATAAATGTTTAGACGACTGATAATGCCAGCTGTATTCGAGAGGCGGTAATTCAGTCATATTCGTTGTACAATTGCAGTTATTTTTGATAATGAATGTTTGTTGATTAGATAAAACGTTGGGTAATAATAATACCGTATCAACTTTAGAGATGAAAATATGATAATTTATTATACTGAGTTAATGATCGATTTCATTACTCTGTTTAGTCAGTGAAGTTGTTATTTTAAATATTGCTAATTTATGTTATCACGAGAAAATATATTTTACACATAACTAAATACGAATTAGTCTAAGACAGAAAAGGAAAGAATTCAGAAAAAAATTCTGCTTTGCAGAGACAGAGCAAATGGTTTGGAGTCCCGGAGAGCTTAGTTCTGAAAAAAAAATAGTTCATATTCTGATAGACTTACAAAACAGTTACAAAGCGAAGCAAATTAATGAACCGAAAGGAAGAAAAAGGACGGATAGTATATGAATTATTAAACTTTCGATTTTCGAAACTTCTTACACAAGAAATAAGCTAGTCTTAGCTTCAAATAAATATCGATAAATGTAATAAACTGTACCACCTTATGCGCATTCTTCTCCGACTTCGCGACCCATTGCCCTATCAAAAATGCCAAAAGCACGCCAAAAACAAACACTGTCAACATCAGGGAAAGCAGAATACTTTTTCCCAACCAACTCGAACATTTTTTGTTTAGAAATGAATAATGTGATGAAAAGCTGTCCATTGTACCTTAATTTTTCTTTTTGCTGGTTTTATTATTTAAAAGGAACCAAAATTTTGCCTACTCTGAATCTTTTTTGGGTCAGCTTACCTCACAGGAGCTTACCGATCTTGCAGGTCCATTACCCAAGAATTGTCCATAAATAAATGAGGATTTGTATTATGCTATAAAGTAATATTCTTGAAACAAACCTGGGGAGATGATAATTGAACTAGCATCATTAACATTCCACAATTCAGTATCGTCATTTGGTGAGTTTTTCAGCGAGTTTCGCTCACTAATCATTGGTTAGCAAATTTGACACTAAAATCCAGATTTTTTGATGTAAAAAAATGGAGTGATGGGAGTAAGACAAGTAAGTAAGGCAAGGTGAAAATGTTTACAAAGTCTTCAGTGATTTATAACCCAATAAACTGGGTTCTTTTAAACAATATATATTAAAAATAAAAAGAAAAATTTTTTCAGCTTTTTTGTTCAAAGGACAATTCATGAAAATTAAAAATATGGAGCTCATGAAACATTCCTGTTGTAGTTCTTGCAGAATAATCTACGATCTGGTAATATTTTATATCTCAATCATAAATCTTTACAATGCACTATTATCTAAAATCCTTTCAAAGCAGAGCGTTGATCATATCTTTCTGATCACGGTAATTATGACTCCCTTACTCCTCTTTTTTCTCTATGGGAATATCAAATAAAAAATAATGAATGCTGTTGTCCTAGTTTACTAGGGTTTTAACCTTCACATGAGTTGAGAAATAAAGCATATTCGAATAAAGAAATTTAGAAAATATCGTAAGTTTGGCGTGATAATTTAATGATATTTCATAATTTCCACACAATTTAGTGAGTAACAATTATGTCAATGTTTATGTTAGCTGATGTTTTAAAATCTATGAAAAAAGTTCAATTAAACGTATCACATCAATTACTAGTATAATATAATACAACATGAACATAACGCGGTAAAGTAGCGTTGTAAATAAAAATATCACAAAATGATGGAATGATGGAGGAATCAAAATGATCTAAAACAAAGTGTAACTTTAGCAACGTATTGCATGAGAATATAGATGTGCGAAATGTACACAGAATGGTCAAGAAAGCGTTTCAAAAGTTATTCACGGTGGTTTCATTTGTATTTCACTCTGTTTTATTTTTTTAAGGATCCAAGTAAATGATTAAAATGATAATTTTGTAAATGATAGTCAAACTCAAAATATTCAAATAGAAATATCAGAAAAAAGATAAAAACTTGTTTAATATTTTTAATCGTGTGTGAAAGAAGTTTGAGTTGTCAACATTTCAGCGTTTATGCTATACGGTTTAGGAGTTATGGCCTCAATGACCTTTTTGTCATTGCACTTTTTGGAAAGAGCTCATCTGAGGAAGATAATTCACTAAGAAATTAAATTAATCTAAAAATGCGAATTTAATCTATCAGGATGTAGATAAATATCTTTGCTGTTCAAGATTACAAAAAATCTCAAACAAAAATAAAGTCCCTGGAGTACAAACTTCAAAATGTCTCAAAGAAACGAGAAGTATTTTCTTCTGCAAAGCTTGAAATATTTTTCTGCCTAAATTTCTCGTTTTTTTTTTTTTCTAAGTTATATAAATGTTGGTTCTGTTGAAACTGACAAAAAATAAAGGTGTCCGAAAAATATTTATTACACACTAAGTGTTTAGAATAATGCTAATGATCCATTACTACGAACCAATTCGTTATTCCTTTGTTATACTCCATTCTTTTTGAAACAATGAATTCTTTATGGAAACCTCAAATAGTAAATGTACATCTGTCTTCACTGTAAATGTTAATCCTCTAAGCTAAGTCCACTTCCTACATCTTTAAAATCTTCTCTAATTAGTAAAAAAGAAACGATCTCTGACAGTTTTTTCATCCTCCTACTCAATAGTAACATTCATTCCTCCACTGTTTCGATTATTCAATTGTATATTGTGTCGATTTATTATTTTGAAAGAAAATAAATGATATTTGAGCCAATCTTGCTCGCAGACAAGAAGCACAGGGTTCAATTCAAGTCCTACAAACTTAAAGTAAGTCAAGTGAACTTAACTAACCCAAGTCATCTATCCTTCTGACCAAATGTTATTTCAAATTCACGACAAAAGGCGTTATTAGCAAACATTAAAAAATGAGGAGTAATACTATAAATGAAATGCATTTTTCTTTTATTTTTATTATGGGGTTGCCTTTCTGGAATGAAAGAAGCGGAAAGAAGGAAATAAAAAGAGTACTGAAGCGGTTGAAATCAATTGGGAAAAAATGAATTAAAAAAGAAGCTGAAGTTGGAATGATTATTTAATAAAAAGTGCTATTGACTCATAGATGAGTACTTGAGCCGCTTTCTTAATATTGCATTTCTCAATTTGAAGAAAAACAACCCGTATGCAAATGAACAGAATAAGAAAATTCAATTCAATTATAAAAACAGAGGTGGACTTCAAAAAAAATCATTAGTTCTTATTTTCTACCAGTATGGCTTAATTCTAATCTACGAAGTTTTCTCTTTCTTCCACCAAATAAAAGTTGGCGAGAAATGCAATATAAATAATGTCCTATTTTGTAAAAAAAAAAAAAAAAAAAAACGTGATAAAAGTATAAATAATCCAAACTGCAAATTCAAGGAACTGTCACAGTGAAGCGATTGTAGTCGATTAAGACTTTCTCAAGAGTTCCGAATTATCTCGAATGAAATTACCTACTCTATTTTTCCCTCTTCTCCCAATTCGTTCTACCAATTACCAAACTTAAACACAGCGATCTCGTCATAGAATTTTTTGATCACATATGTCAAAAAATAAAAATCCTTAGCAAAGTGCTCCTACCCGAATCTTCGTTAAAATATATAAAATATGATCTTGCATATTATCAAATTTTTTGTATAATTGTTAGAGAGATAGTAAGAAAACTCGGGCCTTTTGTAGGAAATTTGTGAAATATTAGTTTATTAGCACTTATTTATTGCTTTTTCCTAAAATATGCACTAACAAACGAATAATATGGATAAAAAAACAACTAGCAAATATGGATAATTCAGATATTTACGATCTTCAAAATCGATATCAATAAAAAAAAACGTTTGTGGAAATACAGTTGGTGAAAATACCTGAAATTCTTCTTTAATTTTGTATTTGCCTTTCAGAGTTGCACTTGGAGCAATTATCCTATGATCAGAAAAAGAGTAAGACTTGTTCATTTGAAATCTAGCAACTGTTCGTTATTACGTTATAACATTCCGAAGAGAGCACATTTGAGTCATTGATATTTTATTTTGCTACTCTAAATTCGATTCAAACATTTTTTTTGACCAAAATTTTCACATCCTTATGCGTCAGATTTCATAAGCCTTTTAAACTGATATCCGGATGTCGTCATAATTTGCATGAAATCATCAATAATTTTTGTGCTCAAAATTTGGTGAAAACTTGTAATTCGATAAAATATTTCGGTATTTCAGTTATAGTGTTACCAAGCGGTAATTATAATTTTTTTCGGAGTTTCCTGACTTTATTAGTTGAGCAATTAAATTGTAAATTGATGCCTAACCCAAAAAAGTGGAAATCGTATATCTAGAAATTTCTGCAGCCGCTTTCCAATATTTTTCCTACTGTACCACGCGTAACCTCTGTGGAAGTTGTAGTATATTACTGATATTAGTACCTTCCTAGCTCATAAGAACTAATTTTGTCTTTCAAGAAGACTCAACCATAGTATCAAATTTCTGTAGATATTATTTAGCTATCTTTCCAAAGGAACAATCAGTGTTTTCAATGATGATATATGCTGTGGCCTTTAAACAAAGGACGTTCCAAAAAATGACATAACAGATAACTGTCATACTATCGATTGTCACCATACTAACGTAACAAAATCGTCTCAAATCTGTACAACATATTTTTTCCAAAATTGACTTCATTCCGGAAATTGGAATACCTGAAGATAGATCAGTTACACTAAACATTGGTAGCAAAGTATTTCGCTATAAAAAACTAATGATGCAAGTACACAAATTTCAAAATTGCGACTATATAAAGTGTAGACAAACGAGAAACCCAATTTGAAAGAAATGGATCAACGGAAGAGAGAAGGAAGAAAAGAATTTGTGGTTTCGTTTCCGACTGGTAACGCTTTCCCAGCGGGGTGTTCGTGCGTCTCCAGGATTGAAAAGGATTAAAAAGGCAAAGCTTCTTCGGTCGGGTAATTTCTTGCTCAGCCAATCAGAGCACCATCAGAATATTTGCTTCAAACAATTTATGTATGGGCGCTTTCAGCTTTGGCCCTTTTTGCCCTCTGCAGTTATTTCTAGTGAGAAAACAAAACGGGCACTACAAGAAAAAGCATGAAGATGACAAATTGTACTGTGTTTTCCATCATCTATTGAAAATTCTGATTTAATCCTCATTGTTAACTCCAACATTTTTAAAAACATTTTCAACTAACGTATTGTGAAACAGTTATAAAGTAAGATCTTATTATAAAGAAGCTGAAAATGAGTATTATTGATAAATAAATACTTGATTCCAAGAAGCAAAATATGAGACAGTGAAGTGAGGCAAAATTGAATCCCCAAACGATATTAGTTAAGATTAATGAACTGTTCTACGAAAGCGATATAGGATCAAAACCTACTTCCTAGTTTTCAGCTTTCTGAATAAGCAAAAGAAGAATCAAAAGTAAAACTTCAAATTACGCGACTCTCATTTTTTTTTTTGAATTTACATTCTTGGATGTTGAAAGAAAGGAAATGCATGAAATAATATATCTGAAACCTCACTGAAACTTAATAAATTTATTTTTTTTTTGTTTGTCAATAACTGCTTTCAAAATATAATACAGTAAAATAACTGATAAGCAATATATGTTCAAACTTATGCATTGCTGCCTATAGATTTGATTAAAATAGAATATGCATGTCACATAAGGGAGTTTTAATCAACAACAATGTCTACAATGGACAGAACATTAAAAAGGGATAAAGCAAGGTATATGGGAAGCACTGGATAAAATGATGATACAATGAACAACATAATAATGCAATGCTGTGGTGACATTAGCACCAGTGGCGCTGAATTTATAAATGATTGTGACTGACTTTCATAGTCTAACGTTGTCGTGGAAGGTTTTGATTGTTTAATTAATAATATTGGGAGAGGTGTTCGATCGCAGGGAGATTGTCTTGTATGTAAATGTAAATGCGTGAGGTAACAGAAATATAATCCAAGTTCTTTATTAGCAGAAGTAATGGGACAAAACGTTGATAGAGAACAATTGAAATTGGAATCGTCGGTCCTTGCGATAATTACACATATACTAAATGTTTTAACAAGGGTGATCCTTATATAGCAGTTATCTTACATTATATGTGTTAAAATGTGGGAATGTTTATAATTAGCCATTTTTGTACAAAGAATGATAGTAAGTAACTTTAACAATAGGTTTAAAAATGGATATCACGAAAGAGAGTACAATGGTTTGTCTAGGCATTATGATAAATGGCTGCTATGAGTTGTAATAGACATTACATGATAGATGCTCATAGTATATGAATTGGTATAAGATCAAAAGTCAATTAAACCATTACGATGAATAGTAAAAGACATCAATGGATTGCTATATTAAGCATTGTTAACATTTATTTAGTGCTTCGCGATGTTAAAATCCGCGACAAACGTTGCTTGAATCTTTTGCTTCTGAGCGATCAAAACATCATTAGCGAATACGCAACATTGCAGTCTTTTTTTCTTCTCAGTAGCACTAGGACCACATTATTCCTCCAAATTTCGAATTTCCAGAATTTTAAAGTTCTGTTCTCGATTTGACATTAGAATCTATGTAAAAAGCAGGTAGTCTTATAACATAGTTGTTAATTACATTCATAATTAACCATTCTGCTGATCATAATTAATGTTATTCATATTCATAAGCCATGTTTTCCTGTGCGGCCTTATTTTTGGTATCAAGCAAAGACAAAGGTTCACTGCTTATTACTACTTATCACTATGGATAGCATAATATAAAATGGAAGTTAACATCTAATTAATTGTATCGGAGAATTTTAGCATTCCTTCTGACATTACCAAACATAGATAACAAATGAACTAATGATACAATTAAAATTAAATGGTTATAAACAACCAGCTTACTTCCTGAGCTTGTCCATGACAAAGGAGTTAAAAGCACTTTTAAGCTGTAAATCCTAACAACGCAAGTTCGCAAATTCCAAACCAAACTGATAGATCAAAATTCTGAACAAATTGTATGTAATGTAAAATCATATAAATTGTGGTGACAAACTTAGTTACCAAAATCTCGGTCCGCTCGTAACTGCTTCATTTGAGATCAGATGGCAGAGCTTATCAATTGAATAATTGAGTTTTGCCTTCCTACTTTGTTTTCGAAATAATATTACGATGGTTTGTGCAAAGTTAAGAAACACATTTTTCTGGCCACCCAAACTATGATTTTTAAGCTTTATTTTTCTTTGGGCGGAAGCATTCATGATGAGAAAAAAAACATGGTTCAATTACATCTGTGTAAAAATGACACCATACTGCAAAAAGATCACATGCTTCACTGAAAATAGTGCATTTTGCATATAAATAGGAGCTTCTATAAAACCGTAAAACTGTTAAAAATTCAAATCAATATTATTCATGCCTGAGCCATATCATTTGATGCTTTTGCTTTTTATGCTATTTGGTTTGTGGAATTTTATTTAAGGACAGAAAGAGCTATACAGCTGTGAACACGAAAGCAATTCGTAAACAACTTTCAGTACCTCCCAGGCTTCTGCAAACTATTTGTCAACTGAGATAGTATTACCTTTATCAAAGATGGCTTCTTGTTATGATATAATATTATATGCTCGTCCCTCAGTTTCATACTTTTTTTTGGTTATTTCGATAAGACTTATGTTAGTGATTCTCGTCCTTGTTATATTCTTAATTTAAGCAGGATCAGCTTTGGCAAAAATTGCACTGCGATAATATTCAAAGCCCTCAGATTTTTTTCAAGAGACTAAAGTATGAATCATTGTGATAGGCCGTAATATTCAAATTAGTACTTTTAGTCTCAGTGCACAACCGAGGAACAAGAAGAAACGTAGGCTGATTTTTATTGAAGTGTTGGATACACTAACAGCATCACAATGATGGTAGATATTTTTCTAGAAGAAAATGAAGAATCATCTCCTTCTTCGCTAGTGCTCCAAAATGGAGATGTTTTGCTTACAGAACAGGTTGAATTATTACTGTAAATCCTGAAATTTTTTCGTTACAGATTGATCTTCAATGACACACGTAAGAATTTTGAAATCATTCATAAAAAAACTTTGTTTTCCCTGTGGGGTAATTGTTAATTCAAGATTTCTCTACTAATAAAACTTTAAGATATTAACAGGCCCGAGAAATGTTTTCATTATGCGATCATAACGGGAAGGGATTTGTGGTAAAAATGGATTTGGCTCGTATTAATGGAATGATACCAAGTATATCACAGCGACAACTGGAACTGTTTTTTGACAATGCAGATATTTTTAAAACCAATTACATTACTGAAAATCAGTTCATTAATAACATCAGTAAGTTTACTTTATCTTCAGATAGCATTAATGTGCTGATGAATGAGCTATTCAAATTTTCATCAAATAATGCTATATTTTTAGATGTTCGTTGGTCTTTCATTTTTTTTAATAAGAACAGTGTGGATATCACATACACATATATTGCAGAACCCATGCTTCTGCGAACTGCCTTCAGTGATTCGCAGTTAATAAAAACAAAGATATGTTTTTCATTTCCTCAGTATATAAATTAATTAGCTAAGGGTTACTAGATATTTAAATGATAAATTTATAAGGTTTGTAAATGAACAAATCATAGCTATTATATTTTCAAGAGTGATTTTTTTTGTGCAGTAAAATTATCGAGTTAAAGTGATGGTTTTGCTGCTATGAAGTGATGAATCTTAAAAAAGTGTCACTGAAATTTTTGCCGAAATGTACCATAATTTAAAAAAGCAGAAAATCTAACTCTAATATTCAAAATATCATGAACACTTTTCATTCCCTTTATCACTTGCTTATAACTGCTTGTTTTCACAATTTAGAATGACGAAATATCATCGGCAAATAATCTTATTTGGAAAATAGTATGTTCTCGATTCATAATTTAAGGAACATTTTAAAAGGTTTTCTTGTTTAATGAATGGCCTACTACTATGTAGGTAAAACGAGATCTTAAAGGCTGGGACTTGCATTATTCGAAAAATTTTTGGTTCCCAGCTTCTAAGTTTCTCAAAAGAATTAGGGTGGCTTCCTTGTTCTTGTTCATGTATTCGTTCCACTGATAGATGCAGGTGCATCAGCAATTTTCACAACATTTAAACATATTATCATAGTAGTTTGCTTCCCAAAGAGAGAAACAGAAACAAAGCTTTTGTAAATTCAGAAAAAATTTGGAAACTTTTCTACGATTTTTTGGTTAGAAGTGTAACATATAAGGAAATAGTTACCAAAATCTCGGTCCGCTCGTAACTGCTTCATTTGAGATTAGATGGCAGAGCTTATCAATTGAATAATTGAGTTTTGCCTTCCTACTTTGTTTTCGAAATAATATTACGATGGTTTGTGCAAAGTTAAGAAACACATAAAGAATCCATCAGCAAATTAGAACTGTGCACTTAATCTGTGCAAAGTAAAGCTCACACAACTTGTCTCGATTCTTCGAAGTGCTTTAAAACATTCAATTATAGTTATTCATCAGTTAAGCTGTCATTAATTGTTAAGTTCAAAATAAAGGAGCTTTCACTGACATAACCGATCAATTAACTGATGTAAATCATTTCAGGAAACAAAGGAAGAGATCAATTTAACAAAAAATGATCAAGTATTAGAAGAAAGTAATGGGAAAATAATGAGTGAAAATGAGCAGAAAATGAAAACGAAAGAAATGAGCAGAAATATGATGGATTCTGATCAGAAAGCAGTGGATTCAACAACAGCTCCAGGGAAATCGATTTCTACTGGAATTCTTATGGGACTGGACAAGGCATTTCAGAATAAGGATCTGTCCGGAATTACTGAACAACAATATCAATACTACAATCGACGTTGTGAGGAACAAAAGCAGCAGCGTCATCAACATTTACAACATCGGCGAATTAATGATTTTACTGGCTCATTAGAAGACGAACTGTCAGCTGCAGTAATCGGAATAGGCGACAGTGAAACAATTCTTCAGGCGATGTTTGTTGTTTTTTTTATCAAAGTTTCTTATGTACATACTTTTTTTTTCGATTATTATTGTTTCACTTCTTTTATTCGTATATTTCAATTATTATCCATAAAACATATTTCACTTATATGAAATTATATGATTTATTGTATCCGAAAAATCAATTTAATGAGGAGATATCTAATACTACTGATATCTAACTAAACATTTCTTTTTAGTTCTACTTATTTTTCTTTATTTTGTTATCTTTTGTATTTCTTGAAGACTCCAGGAATTTCAAAGGGGGTAAAAAAATGTATTTTTTAGTGGTGCTAACTTAATCTTGCTTTTGACAGTCAATTAGATAAGTGTTAGATTGACATTTTTTAACAGCGAACAGTGCGTTTGTCTTTATTTCCTTTAGTATTATATTTTTTTTGCAAAAAAAAAATTGTATAGTAACTCAACTGAACAGAAAACCTCAAAAGAATATTTTTCTACCAGCTGTCATTATAATTGTAAAAAAGTAGTTCCGCTTCCATGATATTTGTCGGCATATGATATTCATCTCAAAGTTATTTATACTTTTTCAAAAATAAGTTATGCATTCCTAATAATATATGATGTAGAAAATAATTCTGTAGATTTATCCTGCATCGCTGATACAGGAGATCAGTGCAGTACATTCGATGTAACCAAAATTGGAAAAATTTTTAAAAATTTTAGTTCATGAACAATTTTGTTGTCTAAAATATGCTGAAAATTTTCAAAAATTTCATGGATCTTTCTTTTTTACTTTTTTGAAATAACTATGCTAACCAGTCTAAAAATTTGTTCAGCAATCAATAAATCTAATGAATTTCTTCATTGATATTTACAGTTTCAGATCAAAATGATAATAAATTGTAGGCCACAATAAAATTTATTTGGAAGGTTAAACTTTTAATTCACTCATTACTTGAGAATAAATAAATCCATTGCAGAGAATCAGTAGTGATCGAATATCCATTTGCCGTATATGACAGCGGTCCATCGACTTTTAATTCCCCAAAACAATCAATAATGGAATTAAAACAAGATTTCAAGGTACGTTTTATATTAATCGATGTTTCGAATGAAAAGTCATCAGGAACATTTTTTAAACAAGTTGATAACTCAGGAAGGTACTTTCAGTTTTTTAATATCTTTAAACTGACGAAAATATGATTCTTTCATGCTGCATTTGACGATATTTATTTATCTGACCAGTCCTTTTTCTTTTTTTATTTGGTTATTTTTAATTTAAAAGTAGTGGCATCCGAAAGTTGATTTTATTTCTTTTTTCTTTTAAAATTTTGAAAAACAGATTGCTAAAAGTCCCATTAGTGTTTTCTTCCTTTGTTTTTTTTTTTTTTTTTTTTTTTTTTTTTTTCAATTCAGTATTTAATGATGAAAATGATACAAAATGGAGTGGTTTTAATCTCATAAGTTTCCTTTTTGGGTGCTTAAAAGTGAAAAAATAACAATGAAGCGTTTGAGTATTTATCCGATAAGACAAGAAACTTTTTGGTGACTCATGGAAGGAAAAGACCAATTTTGCTGTCTTATACTGCAGCTTTAAGATGCTAAGTTGAATTATAGGTGAATGATTTAAGAAGGATTAGTCAGGAAACGACGAGTCAACTGAATTTGTACAAATGCTCATATTTTTCGGATGTGAAGTTATCACTCGAATCTCGACCACTAGCTGATGTTGGCTTTTTTTTATTTATTCTTTGGCTAATAATTAAATAATAAGCAATAGGTTTACAAGTTGGAGCTTATCGTCTTATGCTACTTGCATAAATTCTTTTGTTGTCGGAAAGATACAAGTAGAGAACAAGAAAGTGAAATGCTTTCACTTTAAATTTTAATACTTCGTTATTCCAACTTAAGACTGTGAAATTTTGTTAGTTTTACATGTTGTGCACAAACGAACTAATAAATTAAAAACTGAAGCGATTTTTGTGAAGCAAAGGGATGGATGGTTAAAAAAGTAAAGGTTTTTTGAAGACAGAAAAATTATATCAAAGAGTTCTTAGTCATGTCAGTGAAATTGCTTCCGAAAGTTCTCTATAGAAACTGATACAATTGAAATTTTTATATTTAAATGACTTAACTAATTGAACAATTCATTGCAATTAACAAGGTTATTTGCAGGAATTACGCGAGTGTGGAATAATAAATAAAGTGGAACCACCATCTATGGTAAGCTTTAGCAATTTAAACAAAAGCTGAATCAATTTCAAGTATCATTTATCAGAAATAAATTCAAAACTTAAATGCGCATCTGCAGCTAACATATGATTTATGGGCACTAAATTCATGTTTAGATGTTTTAGGCTAAGTGAGCAGATCTCTTTAATTTTTCTTTAAAGCACTACATAAAGCTTTCCCGAACATATGCAAATATCTAATATGTGTTTTTAAAATTCGTATATATGAATTTTTAATATACTTTTTTCTTGCATACCTTCTGTTTGGAAATATGCTTGAAAGGAGTAGCTTTTTTTAAATGAATTTCAGCCACGACCAGATTTTTTACCAGATCGAATTTTTAAAGTGGTTTTTTTGGGCGATTCGGCTGTTGGTAAGACTTGTTTCCTGAGTCGGTTTTGTCACAATCGATTCAAACTTCTTTTTAATGCCACTATAGGAGTTGACTTTACTGTTAAAACAATCCGTCTGTGTAACCGTGTTGTTGCTGTACAATTATGGGATACCGCTGGGCAAGAAAGGTTTTTATTTCTGGATTTATCTGCAAGTAATATTAACGTGTCCTGATATTCAGCTTTCGTTATGCTTTGTGCATATATTGTTTCATTATGGAAAAGAACTGATTTTTCTATATTTTGAGATTCATTTTCTGTGTTAAATCATTTAAGATATGTTAAATTCAGCTTTAGAGTTGTTAATCTCTGACTCATTTTTTACTCAATATTGCTATATGATTTTCTTATGTGCTGATATACCATTAACGCGGAATTTACTGTAGATTTCGAAGTATAACAGAACAATATTTTCGAAAAGCGGATGGTATCATATTAATGTATGATGTAACCTCAGAGCGGTCATTTTTAAATGTTAGAAATTGGATTAATTCAATGAAAGCTGGTGTAGACGAAAGTTGTGTAATGTGTCTGGTCGGAAACAAGGTATTAATTCATTAATTCAATATCTTAAACGTTGGAATTGCATAACAGCTGATGTTTTCTTGTAAAAAGCAGCGCTGGACTAATGATGGTTTCGTTCCTTTAATTTTACCATACAATCTGTGCTTAAAATTGATATTTTTTTTTCAATCCTATTTCCTTTTTCCTTCGGCGTAGGCCAAGATACCAATGGTACCAATTTACAGTTGGGTATAAAATCTCTTCCAACTATTTAAGTGTAAAATTTACAGATTGACTTATTTGCAAATGATCAGGCCAGAGTGCTTACTTATAAATATGGCAAGAAGCTTGCTGAGGCAAGGATTTTTATCTGTCTTGGTATTTGATGATGGTATCCCTCAAATAACTAATTTAGAAATATTTGCTAGATTTCTAGAATTTCTTTTCAGGAATTTGGTATGTTGTTTTTTGAAACGAGTGCTTTTAATGGTTTTGGTGTCAACGATTGCATGAGGGCTGTCGCCATGTAATTTTCTTTTTTTGTTATTTTCATCTGAATTCTTTATTCGTTCGAACTACCAAGCATTATCATCATGAAAAAAACGTGAGCAGACAATCGGATTAGGAGGTGGAAGGAAGAAAATGTTTAGCCTGAAAAATTCGGGACTCAAACTGCGCAAATATTGTTCTGATATGGATCATTTCAAAACGATAAGATGAAGCATATTATGGAATTTTCAAGCTGAACTGATGCAGTGGTGCTTGAGTAATATTTGAATTAGCTTATTAGATGCAATTCCACTCTTTTTCCTTATACAGCTTTTTCTTTTTTAGGAAGTTGCAAGAGCGTGAGGATCAGCAAATGGTGGATATACTGAAACTTGATATGAGCTTGCAAAAGAAACAGAAAAGCTGGTGTTGTATTTAGTAAAGATTTGTGATCATTTATTCACTATTCAATTACAGTTTTATTTTCTTGAAAAAGAGAAGAAAAAAAAAGTGCGAAAGTTAATGATATAAACAATAGTTTTATTTGGTAAATTTTATCTAGAAAATGTAATGCGAATATGAAGCAGTAGGACTGAATTCAACAAAACTGGATTTTAAAATATCTAACCATGAAAAATCATTAAGAATTAATAAAATTAGCCTTCATAAAGAATAATTATGCATTATTCATCGATTATTGCTTCAGGACTACAAGGGAATTGCTTTTTATCTGGATGATTGAGGCAAGTATTTTGAAAGAGTTTCATATACACATACATTCACAGATCTTTTGAATATTATTCATCTTTGTGCTACGATGAAGTTCAGGCATTTCAACCGTCGCACAATTTGAAACGAATTAGAAAGAAATCATTTTCTTGACTAAAAGCCTTCTCAATTATATCCTAAATTCACGTGATGAAACTAGGATGTAATTTTTTAGTCTGAATTTGTCCTCATTTTCATTCGTTTAATTGCGAGTAGTATGCAAGCAGGAAATCCAGTTAATCATTTACAATATATAGAATAATAACAAGCGTCACGAGATTTTCAGGGAATTAATTGGATTGTTCATCTTAATGGAAAGTTTGTTTACCTGATAATTTCTCCGATGAGGTGTCTTTTAGTGAGGTCGGTATAAAGACTATGAGACGAAATGAATTCTTCCCTACTTTAAACAGGAAAAAGTAAGATATCGATGGCTTCGCATCGTCCTTTATGATGTTGTCTTTCATTTTTTGTTGTTGAGAGTTTTCTTTGAGAAGAAAGCGATGCTAGGCAAAAGAACGAAGATTTATATGTTTACCAGTTTATTTAAATATAAATTTACCAGTTTCCGAAATTATTAAAAACAACTGGAACATCATGAAACTTGATATTTCCATTCCTCTGTTATTTTTTTAACGAGAATTCTGATGGGTTATTTTTATTTCAAATCTATTTATCATATAGTTCTAAATTCCTGTACACAGATAGCACTTTGATCTCTGAAGTCTAAACGAATAAAATGTTTGAAAATTCCCCATCTCAACTAAATCTTTTGGCTCAAATACAAAAAATTTATTACTATTAAAGAATCCGATAGAACCGCAGACTGCACAACTGTCATTGTGTCGAAGATTTTGTAGTAGAGTGAAATGTAGAACTTGGTTGCTGTGCAGCAATGAATGATTCAGTTATTTTTGTCGTTACTATGCCAGTGAATGATTTCAGCTGAAATTTATGGAAAGATTATGGAAGAAATGAGCTGTGCTGCTATATCAGAAATACGACACTGTAAGGATATAGAAATTTCTTTTAGCTGAACGTTTGAGCGCCTTTCAAGAACTCCTTAAACTTTTAAAATATGTTTAATTCTATTTGCAAGTATATATTTAATTTAATTTTAACTACAAATGACTTGAAAGTTTCTAGTAAGGCTATGCCGTATAAATAAACGAATGAATAATAACCTTATAATCCTTTACAAATAAGAAATACTGATAAATGTTTGAGAATGCGCAAAGGACAGCTGGAACAACGATTAGTGCATGAAGAATTCCCAGTGAGATTACTACCACTACCGCTTTTGTAAATACCTGTAATCAAAAAAGATGGTTCAAAGAAAAAGATCTGTTGAGCACAAAGAATGTACCGAAAAAAAGATTAATCTGCTACAAGGATAGTTAAAATTTTGTAAATACGTACTTCACTCATATAGCTGGGAACAAGTAATAGAATTAAGACAAAGAACACTGTTGAGAAACTGCACTGAAGCAGTGGAAAACCAATGGCACTGAAGGAATGTGCAAGTCGTTCTTTCACTGCTGTCAGATCCGGATTCGATCCAGTACGATGGTAATGAAAAGTGATATGAGCTGGAAAGTCGACCGATAAACCAATGGACATAATCATTGTTGCCATCGAAACCGGATCGACATCGACATTCCAAAAAGTCAAAAAGCCAAATACTCCTGCAAAATCAGTTTGAGTCTTATTTTCAAAACAATTTATAAAATTAGCAATTGCTATTTTTTAAATTGATGTTGCAACTTAAATTTTGGAAATGTAGCATACTGAGCTTACCAACACATATTGATGCGGTTGATGAGATTGCAATCATCACGGCTAAAAAGTCAGGCATAAAAATGTAACACACTACTGCCATACATGCCAGAATCACAAGAGATGTTTGCAAAGTTGTCGCTACCAACGAATCAATTTGATCGGTGAATAAAGCTTCCTCTTCATAAACTGATGCTCCAAGATCTTATAAAAGTTATATTCAAATATGCAAATATCGTAATACAGAAGGTGCAAGCCATTTCAGTCTTAATTGAAATTTGGTGAATTAGCTTCAAAAGCTTCATCTATGCATTTGTAATATTATACAAAGTAAAAATCATATCTTGTAACGATCAACAATTGCTCTCCACGCTTTTAGCATATTCAGTCGTTGTATCCAATCTGACTGATTTTTTCCATGATAAATGATCGTGACGTAAAAGGCTGTAAGACTGAAACTTGTTTGCATAAAAGTTTCTCAAAATTTTCTAAGCTACTGTTAACATTGTCCATTTGTACTAAAATTTTAAAATTTAAGGAAGTCATAAGCAAACTGCAGCAATCATTCATCAGTTCTTGGTATCCTGTGCATAATCAATGAAATTCGGTCGCTATGGAATTCTGTGTTAAGCCAAGCGAGCAAGCCTTGCAGATGAAAAAAAAGCCAGGTTTTAAAATCAAGATCTGGACTTATTCACTTGTTATAGTCCAGATTCAAGGAATATTATTGTCATAAGTTATACTTCTAATGAAGAAAGTAGAAGTTCGAAAATTAGTATCCACTGGAGCACCAGAAATTAGTCACCGATTAGTTTGATTGTCGAATTTCATAAATCCACCTAAGGATTCATATTCGGGCCATTCTAGGAATTTAAGCAGATCATTTGAGGTGTAATCATCAAATCCACTTTCATTGATTTCTTCATTCTTTGACTCCAAATACATTTCATAATCACGAAGCCAGAAATGCGTAAATCTGGAACCTTTGCATCCCGGCACTGCTTCAAATTGAGATACCAGTGCTTTCATACGCTCTCGCCTAGATGAATTTGTTAAATCTCCTGGTTCTAAGATGAACACCGTGACGAAAGTGTAGGACGGCATGATAATTTTATCGTGTAGCCTATTTACCTGAAAATATTTTGTCATTCTTTTGGAAATTGAAGTTAAACTAAAATAAAATGAATAGAATTTACGTAAGTACTTCAATCATAGGTGAATCAGCCAAAAATAATTTTCCTGGTGTCAGACAACCCTTCGCCATCAGCGCATATTTAATGCTCGCTGTTAAATAAATTACAAGCAATATAAATATCAAGGTTGTGGTGAAACCGCTTGACAGGTATTTGCAGTAATTGTGCAGGAAAGTTGTAATCTAAAAAAATACCATCAGAAATAGATCACATTATCAAAGAAAAAAGTTTCTTTCCTTGACTTACTGATACAAAGAGAAGCGTTAAATTGGTTAATAGTCCAACTGCAAAGATACTGAGTGCATAAATTTTGAAAGTAGTTATTTCAAATTCAAGATGTCAATTAATGCAAACATTCAAACTTGTTGTAATCTTTATGTATTGGTTTATCAGTACTTCATGACATTATAATAATTTTGATGCTACTAAGTACAATGAAATAATAATAATAATACAATAAAAACAGCCATTCCAAGAGGGCTTAAAAATGAGTTACTTTTCCGATCCTAATTACCCAGTTTTCATCTTCTCTGGCTTCTGTCTTGAATAAAGGCACTTAGCTTAAAAAATCGAGGAAATCAACAAACCATCGATGGTCCCTGAGGCTTTCGTTCAGAGTAAATGCATTTTTGCTGCGTTTCTATTTGACCTCCAATACACAATACAGCAGCATAAAGTGTTATAGTATATACATAGTCGAGGAAAATGGCTACTGCATTAGCAATACACAGTAATCGGATTTCTGGCGTTGGTGTCGTGAATATGCCAATTCCAAAGGCTAACATGTTTGTCAATGATGTTATAGTTATCGATGGCCCAATATCAGTTAGAACCTAATGAATTATAATATAACAAAAAGCACGCGAATGATGCAAATTCCTCCTTCATAACAAAAATTTGAGGAAACAATATCAGACTTACAATTGCCATTCTTTCCCGAATTGTTTTGTGCGAAGCACTTCCATTCTTCGTCTCCATGTCTGTTCTGTTCCATGCACTGATCATTAAAAATGCATCATCAACCCCTAGAATGACGCAAATTCTTAGCAGATTTTGCTTTTTCTAATGCTTCCAAATAGTAAATAAATCATTTACAACAATAGAAACGATGATTACCTATAGCTAGAGTGAGAAATGGTGTGACGCAGAGGATAGAACCAGGCCGAAGACCTAGCAAAATCACAAGGCCGAGAGCCGCTGATGTTGCCATTAGTGGTGTGATGCAACCCACGAGAGCATAGAGTATTTTGATTTTGGAAAACTGTAATGTAATGAGCTACTGAGCTTCATATCTCGGATATCTTTTACGTATACAACAAATGGAACTTTCAAAAGAAATATGTTGCTGGAAGGAGAAATCACTGAAGAATATCAGTTACATGTGATTGCCTCACTTATTGAGCTTGGTCTTATCATTTTCTTCCTTTTGCTTAAGCTATATTTTCCATACATTGAAATATAAGGAAATGTTAAATACCTGGAGCAAGATTATTAAGGGCTCCACCAGATAGCAATTTATTATTTTGTGATATTGATGAAGTCTTTCTATTTGGCGTCATCTTTTGAAAATGTTTCTTAAATTTTAAAGTCACTGATCCAGATTAAGATTAGACTTCCTAAACACATGTAACGTCATTCTTCGGGTTTTCCAGAGCTTTGCAGCACTTAACTTGAGTCAACAGTGGCCAAACCTTTGAGAATTTAATCTTCTATAACCGAATAAAACTCTAATGTAGTTGGAAGAATTCTTAAATAGAAAGTATCTCTTCAACATTTTGCAGGTGCAGCAGTCTTTCGGGAAATTTTATAAACTTTTGTTAAAGGAACCAAAGATCACCAAGCTTCCGAAAAATTCGTCAAAAGATTGCACAATTATAAAAAAACACACCTGTCTCGTGTATGTTGAACTGATGCTAACTGTACCAACAGCAAATATACACATCATAATGAAACCAAGTAATATGTAAGGCATTAACGCAAGGCCGGCACGAATGATTTCATCCTGTGTATAAGCCAACGAAAATGCAATTGGTCGAATTAACGAATTGTTGTATTCACTAGAAAATTGAAATTATTGAACTGCACAAGAGACAGCATCCTTGCAATGCTAACAAGTTAAGAATCTTTTGAAAAGAAGGTAGAAATTATGTGGAGAAGTCAGAAAGTTTTTGCTTTTCTCACAGCATTGTAAGCTGTAACTTTATGCTGTGATCCTCACTTCTGATTAAGTGTAGATGATCTCCGACACTTCAAAACTCTATTTTACTTTCCCTTTATATTTCGTTGTATTATTTAGTCCATTATTTATTTTATGACGCTATAATAGAACGAAAAATGACTCCCACTTCTCAAAATAATGTCCGACAAGACGCTCCCAGTGAAACGTATCATCGCTGGTCCATTCGTTCGGTCGCTGTGTTCGGAAATGTAACGCCACTAATTTGACGTGTTTAATATTTGTTCCAGAAATTCGATCTACACCATCAGCTGTATATTCAACACCAAAGAAATAAGGTGATAAATCAAGATCACGTCCGAATAATTGCATTATAGGAAATGAAAGCTCAATTAAATCATGACCATTGTTGCTATTTGTATTGCTTCTGCTACTGTTTTTGTCGAAATGTTTCGCCGTGTTGAGAAGTAGTCCATTCTGAAAATTTTTGGCTTTTATGAGTATTTACTACTGGGAGAAAAAAAAAAAAATCCAGTGTGACATGTATACAAGATTTGACACATTGTCAGTCTTCTAACTAAATCCTCTGAACTGTAGAAGTGAACCAGCCATACCTATGATCTAAGTAATTTCTTTTCTTTTTCATTTCAGTTTTATGCAAACATCTGTTGACATGAGCATTACCTATCAAAACTTATCATTTAACGATTATTAACAATAAAAGGATAACTTTTGATAGTTATTAGGACCAATGAAAGAGCGAGGAATTTCACTGTAAATCAGTTTTCAAAAAGATTAGCTAAGAGATTAGTAGGGTCACTTTTTTCTTAATATGACTTTCATTTTTTCCGAGCAAAAAATTCAATTATTTGTACAAAACAATTATTAGAATTTCTTCCTCAAAAAAAAGAAAAAAAAAAAAAAAAAAAAAAAAAAAACTTACTCTGAATTGCCGAACTGGCTCATTGACATCACAAAAATTTCTGCACATCTGGTAATAGGTATAATTTTTGACGGGGAAATGTGTTCCCACATAGTCAACGATATTCAAAATTTCATTCAAATGAGATAATCGGGTAACGGAACCCCCATCTTTTGCCGTAACAATGATAATTACTACCACTGGATCTTTGCCATCGTTGAATTTTCGGAAAACTTCTAATTCATTGAAGGCACGAGCATTTGGTGGTGTATAACCTGACTGAAGGTTATCCTTCGGTTTAACAAATAATAATTTTGAGGATGTTAATATCGTCAGTAATACTGTTACCTGAAAACAAAGTGATAATAGATGGCATAAAAGGTTAGAATACAGTATGAACTTAGGATTTCAGGTCTACAGTTTCTTACCACAAAATGTTTAATGGATTATGAGATTTAAACTCAAATATTAAAATATTCATTTAAACATTTTATGAGTTTGCTTTGACCAAATGGATGCTCCCCCTTATGCAACTAACCATACATTGTCACTGTCTTAAATAAGACATCTAGACTATAGTGAACTTTGAACCAGTCGTTCGCAATTTTAATTTATATATAACACACAGTATTTTACTGAACAGTGGATGTTTGGTTGATTACTTCACAAAAAAATTGGTCTGACTGAAAACCAAAGTCGAAAAATGCTAAATTTCAAAGAGCTTAAAATGCTGATGAAAAACAAAATGTGGACTCAAATAGGTCAATTGGTAAGTATAGCTAAAAAGCTAAACTACGTAGCTAAAAATAAAGCTAAACCATTCATCTGATTTACTCCTTTCCACTTTTTTTTGCTTTTTACAACCTCTCTTCCATTCTTTTCAAACCAGTTGCAAATTTTACGACTTCAATTCCATTCTTCACTAAACACTGACTTTCAGGACTTGAGGACAAAATTATGTTAGATGAGGCAAAGTTTGTAAGGCAATGAATTGCGTTCCAAAACATTTGGAACAGGCAGTGAATTGTGATTATCAACGGCTAATGATTACCATAATGCAAACTTAATAAAATAATTATAGGACCTCAATTAAAAAGTCACATTTCAACGAAAAAATAGGGACAATTTGCTTATCTAAATAATTTACATAGTTTAGTACCAAATGTTTCAAAAATAGTAAATTTCTGTTACCAAATAACCTTAAAATTTAAATTAATCATGCAGACTTCATCATAACAAGCCCATTACGTATGATGCATCAAATATGAATACTTTTCAGCAATATTTGATTGTCTGATGTTCATTTTCTGAATGAATACGGTGACTGGACGTTCCGATTTTAAAATGGGTCTCAGTCATTTACTCCGAACAATTAACAGTTGCGTTATTAATATCTGTGATTGACAGAACGCCTTGAAGGTATCAACTAAGCAACTAGTCAATTGCTCATTTGAGCCATTTAATTGAACCTATCTTTGTATCTTTTAGCAGCTGCAAACTGTACTCTGAATACGAATTAATTCGTTTTTTCTATCGTTTTTATTTCTATCGATCATATGTTTTCGTTCATGCATTTTTTGTTAGCTGATTGAAATAAAAATAAAATGAAATGAAGAGACATAAAAATTATGATATGCAATAATTTTTGGAGTTTCAAAATTCATATGTAAAGCAAAGTAACGAATTCAAGGTTTTTGAGGATAAAAATGAACAAAGTGAAAATTAAATTATTCATATCATTAGAATTCCAGAATATTTGAAATTTTTTATGAAACTGTCTATTTTTGACAAGGAAACGAATTTTCTTAAATAAATGTTCGAGACTGCTCAATTAATTACCGTAATGAAAATAACTGAGCTCAACAGGCACATTGTGGCAAAATTTATCCCTGTGATTAGTCAACTTCTTCATTATCATTATATATCAGGTTTGCAGAACCATTTAAGAGAAATAACCTTCTTTTTATTCTTTTCTTTCTTCTTCTTCTTCTCTTCAGCTCCTTTTTGGGGCAAACGAGACAGAAAAATGGAACAGGTTTTAACTGTGCAATTTGAAGCAATTGAACAAATATATACATTCTCTAGACTAGTTTTTCTACATTTACAGTTGAGTGTTTTGATAATTTTTTGAAAGATTTTTGAACACTGAACACTGCACTAATTTGTTTGTCGAAGAAATTAGGATATTCAGTTAATGTAAAACAATTCAAATCGCTTAACATAAATGTTTGATCTTAAAAAGGAAAACAGTTTCAAATTTGAAATTTTCACTGCTGAATACGGTAACCTTACAATAACAACTTGCAACTGCATCAGTCTATTACGATTTTTCAAAACACCTATTTTAAATAATTTTCAGCCAAGCATTTATAAACTATTCGGAGTTCAATCAATTAGAAAACTCTAGGAAAATTCCTAGACTTGAGTGGAGACTAAAACTATGATCATCAGTAAGGTCGATCTCCTTCTATCATGATATTCTTAATGTCATTGAGGGGTCAACTGATGGGACAGTCTTTTCTGAATTATTTATAGTTATCATGTTCTTATTATGTAGATTAAATAATTAATTTATTTTTACAAAAAACATTCAACGGTTTAGAAGCAACATCGCAACATCTCCACTTCGTAATGCTGCTCCACACAGTTTTTCAATAAAATTTGTTTTTCACAATCACTGAATCCAACATATCAGTTTCCTATACTATGGGGATACCGATATATACATCCACAAATATAGCTACTAATTCCGACAGCAAAACCATATTTCACACAAAAAGCACAAATTTACAGTAAAAATATTTGTAACGTTATTTAAAAGTTTGAAGGCTAGAAAATTCACTTACCGTAATAACTGTGCGTGGATAATCGGCGGATATGTAAGCAATCCGCTCAAGAAAGCAATTCAAGAAGTGGATAAACTTAGTTGGTCGATGATATGTCGTTACAGTGGTATCATCGTGCATTTTTCGCTTCTAGAATGTTTGAAAGAGTTGTAGAATGAGGTGATACGAATCCCACTACTGTCGCTTCTACTATTACTTATTGCTTCTGTCACAAAAGAAATGGTAAGGTTTCGCTTGCTGGCGACAATCGTTAAAACCAGAGTGAAGGTGTATAAGGAGAAAAAATGGGGGGCGGGAAAAGAGGCGAGCTGAACTGAGGCGTGACGAACCCGAAGTGAATTCTTAAACCAGTCCGCATTCGCTTTGTCTTCGTCTTTTCTAAGAATCTGGTTTTAATGTATTAGCCTTCTTTCTATTAATCACATATATGCTTTTGAGTTGTTTCTTCGACTTACCGCCATATAACAAACTTCCCAATCTTGAGATTGTCAGTTTAACTGCTCATCAAATCGCGGGAAATTGGCCACTCACTAATAGTGCTAAATGGTATGTATATTGATTGTCCCTGTGTCGAGAACAAGCTCGAAATTCCACTAGAAATAATCTTTGTACCGAACAATCGAATTTAGCAAAGGGTCAAATTTAAATCAATGTATTTATATTTAAGCAAATCATGTTAATCATTTATTGTAAGTTTTATTGTAATTCAAATCCTTTAATGACTCATAGATGGTAATGTATTAACAAATTCCCATGCTAATCTGTCATATTATCTAATGCACATCTTTCCAATCCTTTGTTTGTTATCTAATTCCGTTTACAAAAACTATCTTTCCCATAGCCTTCCTCCTAGCTTCCATTGTATCAATCGCTTTATCTCTCCACCCTCAAATCATGCTATATAAGGGCAATGACCACTCAACTGGGGCATTGTTCCAGAAGTCTCCCCATTGCTTAGCTCATCCTCCTCACTAAATTGTCAAACTACTGATTGCTTGTTTGGTTCAATTACCCAAGATAAAGCACTCGACTCAATTGTGCAAGTAAACCAATCCAATCCAAACCAACATCCACAACACCCTGTGCGTGTATTCAAACATGCGAAATATATTTAAATATCAGAATTTATAGCTGAACACAATTTAAACATTCATCGCTTATTAATTAAAGAAGTTGAAAAAAACCCATGTCCTGCGAAACATCTATCTTATTAGCTACAAATTCGTTTTATGAAGTGATTTCACAGTTTTACAAAGGTTTTTTTATTATTTCAAAAAGATAGTGTTTTGATGCATTTGGCATAATGAAATTATTCAGGTTGCTGACAACTTTTTCTCGTAAAAGATGAAAATTTTGAGTAATAATTAATAACACACAATTTCAACACACATTTTTAAATAGAAAACTCGTTTATTTGCTTATTTGATGGGTGAACTGTTCACACAATTTTTATGTATTCGCTGGTTCATTCGCGGTCAATTGAAGTGATGTCTCCACTACACTTCGTATTTCTCCCCCAGAGATCAAACATCAAATTTAATGGTTACTTCAACTCGTATATCCTTCAGTTCCTCTTCCTGCTATCAAATACTATGAATGATAATTAGTCATGTGCAATCCCATTCATTTGACTCAGTTTAACACACGTGTTTTTTTTGGTCATCAAAGTATTCAGATAATGAATAATCATATCACATTTTAAACTTTTAAGTAAAGATTGAAGATGTTAAGGTTTCCAACCTCATTCGGAGTTTATGTAATAAGATGGTAAAAAAAGATGCATAGATAGGACGGCAATGCTTAAAATTTTCAGTAGATGTTAATCCTAATTACTTTGTCACTTTTCGGTTTAAAACGATAACTGCAAGTCGATGTGGAAATATAAAAGCGATTTTTTAGAAACGAATAACAAAAAAAGAAATAAAAATAGAATCTAAGAACTATCGCTTGTCATGATTTTCAATTATGTACTTGTCGAAATCTCTCTGTTCTAAATGAAATGAGTAATTCAACATAACCGAGAAAATGCCATCCAACCAATTTTTTCACTGATGTACATATGGTAGAAAAAGTGCATTCAAATATGACTAAGAAAGGATATATCGAGGAGTAAACAAAATGAACTGAATATAATTTATACAAATATTCAGTTTTATAATTTTCGTTACTGAATTAATATTTTGAACTGCCACGAGTGATAGAAGATGACCGTTATTTAAACTATTTCTGCTGAGTGAGCTGTCTTTATCACACAGAGCAGTAGTAAATCTTAGCTTAGGATCCCATTAATAATGTCATCACATCAGCATAGTAGTAAACAATCCCAAAGACATGTTATACACCAGTATAACCCTGCATACATTCAAACAAAAAAAAAAAAAAGTCGGCTATCCATTCAAAATATCATTTGGAGTAGGACAGTTGTAAAGTTTTATAAGTCGTTTTGGTTGGTCAAAGCTTTACAATGGAAATCAATAAGTGCCATGCAGTTCATTTTTTAATTTCTGAATAATGTCGAATAAGAATTAATGGATGTCAATTATGAATGGCAAAAATATCAGCCTATGCTTTCATTTTGTTTGTAGCATAATAGGGATTTCATAACCACCTCTAAACCCCCTCACCCTCCCTAAATCTTGCCGTAAAAATCCGTAAGCGAAGATAACTTTAGAAATGAATGTTATAATACATATGTTAGCGCTCAGAATTCACCAACAGCAACTAAAGTAGTAATCCCATATTCAAATTTTAATAGCATCTCTTCACCCAACACAGTTTCATCACTTGAAATTACTAGATTTAAAGGCCAGCAAATTATAACTTCTACTACTAAGTTCTGTTACTCAAATGGGACATTACCCAGCAAAATATTGACATTACCTAAGCATTATTAAAATACAGGATGCATTATCCGCCAAACATTACTTGTTGGTTGAACAATTCTTCCAGTCTTTTAGTTGAATCATAAGAAAATAAAACATTATTAGCAGCAGATGTACTAATGAATTTGCACAGCGTCCTCTCCTTCCAAAACATTCTGTCCAGATGTAATTGAAACCTGCAATTTCTTTTATCCCTTAATTTCAAACTTCCATGCACTAATTTACGGAAAAATCAACACTTACTCTATTATCAAAACATAACACCGTCACTCAACAAACTTTGGCTCATATTTGACCAATCAGTTTCTGATGCAATCATACATACAAAATAGCTATTGGAAAAAATCTACTAGGTGCTTTTTTCATTATGCTTGTTCCAACTTACTTAACAGTAAAATAAAAACCCAAGAACTGAAAGAAAAAAAAATTGTTTCCTTAAGCTAAAATGAATTTAAACCTAACGGTTCAATTTTGTTTTCAAAAAAAACTTTTTGAGAAGTTACTATATATCGAAAATTATCGATATATAGTAACATTTTCTCCAATGGTCACTTATTTCTCGTCTTCAGAAGGCTTATTTGCTAATTCTTAACAGTGTTTGAACAAATAAATCTTTTTGATAATAAATCAATTCACTAGTTGGATTATTACATTTATATACTGGAATACAAACTGCATGAGCGACAAGTTCTGTTTATGAATAGGTCGTTCAGTGTAGCGAACAGAAAAGAGTGGGTATTAACTAGTCCAATAACAAAAAGTAAGGAAACTGTCTGATCATTGAATTCCATGTCTTCACCAGAAAAATGCAGAGTTCGCAAAATGAAACCCTGTCCAATTTGCTTGTCCAAGAGAGGTCACCTGTTATCAATTGTACATTCTCTTCATAGATACTTCATCTCGTTGAACTGGTTGTTTCCATTACCTTCTCTCCTACTCTAACCTACTGACATGAAGTAAATATGCTGAATTCTGCTAAGACTGATAATCCAATGAATTAAATAAGAGCACTGATAATTTTTGTACAGAAACATTTCAAGAAAATCCCCATGAACTGGCATAAAACACGAATTTTCTAAACTGAAATGGCTCATTAGTAGAAACAGAGTCTTCAGGACTACTCGAACAAAGCGAACAAAGGATGAGTTCAAATTCTGCAATTCTAAAAGTATCTAGAAAGAACCACATCCCACAACCTTGAATTTCAATATGTATCGCGCAAACCTACTCTAATTTTTGTTTTTGAGGTATGTGCTGTCAAAATTCTTCTGACTATGTAAGAACCAAATTCTTATTTGTGTAAAAAAAGCTTCGAACTTTAAGCAGAAAAGCTTGAGACGATTATCACTGACAACAATATAATCAAATTCATTCTTCCAAAAGTCTAGGACAAAAATCATTTCCTCTTTCTCCTCGATTTTCCAATTTTGCTATTCTGGTACCAAATTGCATAGCACGTTTCGGAGTGAGACATAACGACTGTGGTGTTCCCAGTAGCTAAAAAAAAATTCACAAATGAAAATGCACTAAAAATCTTACTGCAACAACACACACAACTTACCTTTAATGCCTCTCGCACCAACCACTTTTCTCCAATCCCTCGAGGTTGCGTAAAGTCGCTTCTGTATTCTAGAGGTAAGGAGGTAACCCATTCAACAAATAAATCATCAAGAAATGGAGACCTAAAGACAGAAAAAGAACTGAAACAAAAGCTGTTCAAGTAAAGCCTTTTGAACAAACCATTTATACAAAGGAAATTATACAGGAGAAAGTAAAACAAACCAGCCAAAAAATCACTTAATCAAATTTAACTTAACGGTATTCTAGTAGCTAAACATCAAAAGTTCAAATTGAACACGTGAGTAAATTAAAGGAACAAACTTTAGATCTTTGCCTAGACTTGAAACCACTCTATCATCACGCCCAAGATTTCTTTCACCAATGTTTCTTAGTTCTTCATGCAATTCCTCCACTACAGCATTTCTTCCTCTCTTTAAATAGGTAGTTCTATGCCGCATGTAACCACCAAACAATTCATCTGCACCACTACCAACAACTACAGTTACAGCTTCTGATCTAAAACAGAAAGACGCCAACTAAATTTGAAAATTCACTTAAACATCTCAATACAATTTCACTGACCGGAATTCATCAATTTATGGAGAGTAAAATCTGCTTCAGTCAAGACATATGGATGTTTAAAACCCCAAGTGATATAAATTTTCATAAAATTACTAACTTTTCAGGTACGAAGGGTTTTTTCTCATCTTCAAACAGGAGTCCTTCTCCACGAGCGGCGAACCATTGCACGCATCCAATCGAATCATCTAACACAGAGCAAGCTGGAGCAACTGCACTTGATATGTACTTTTTTCGGCAATGCGCCAATTCATTGAGATCAACATCAACCAGAAGCAGACGAAAGGAGAGTTCAGGATAACAAGACTTTAAATATTTGAATGCTTTTTTACTTTGTTGTCGGTCTGGAGCTTCATCATAATTCTTGAAACAGATTTTTATTTGCTTCGAAAAAAATAAAAATTAGTTCTAAGAACAAACAAAGAAAAAATACAGACCTTCCTCTTAGCAAAAGCGACATTCACTAAATCCAATAGTACATTTTGCGGCATACATTGAGCCATTAAATGAGCAACTAACAAACTGTCTACACCACCACTGAATGATAATGATATACATTTTGTAAAAATATCCAAGCTAGAAACTGTACGGCATACAGCTTCTTTCAGTTGTTTCAACATAATCTTCGCCATATCTTCGCGAATTATCTATAGAAAAAACAAATAAGTTTGTTTCATGAAAGATATAGTTTTTATGACCTAATTTCTGTACGACATACAATTCCTTTCAGTTGTTTCAACATGTATAAAAAAGAACATAAGTTATTTAACCTAATTCTCCGCTTTAATAATTTGTATTCTTTTCTTTGCTTTTCTACATGTTTATTTCCGCGAAAAAAAAAAAAAAAAAGAAAAACATCAACCAGACAATCAGTAGGACTAATAACTTCAATAACCTAGCGCTTCTCATAAAAAGTGAAAATTTCACCTCAGAATTTTTCTATCGTTTGTAATTTATATACATCATAACACTATACAGGAAACAAAATTATATAGGCAAGAAAACATAATTTAACGGACATTTTTTAAACAGAGTTCATTAGAAGGTATAAATCTTTCCGAAACTACTTTTCTTTGCACTCGATACAGCTTATTAAATTGTTCTAACCACGGTCCGCTAACTTCGAAAGCATGAAATATAGTGGTATTTTCTTCACTGCAAAAATCAAGAACAGTCACCGTGCCCGATGGCACATAGTACCAGCTGCACTGAAATATATTTAACAAACTTTATCAGACATTTGCTTATCGACTCTGCAAACAGCTAATCTTATATTGATTAACTACATTTAATTACCAGCCGATCGCAAGCGAAAGTGGAAAAATAAAGTTTTTTATCCACTCGTCTCCACAGCAAACTTTTTCGGCCAAATACGTCACGTCCAAGCAATACTTTCTTGAAATCCTTCTAAAATAGGAAACAAATGAAATTATTTTTAAATAATTTGCAGGCTCATATAAGTGCACCTTCAATGGTTGCTATTCTGATCAATGACTGCGACAGTTGTAGCTGCCAAAAAAAGAAATCAATGTATATTATAATGTGAAAAGAGAGAGAAAATCGCGTCCAAAAAGTACTATTCGACCATTCTTGATGTTCTGAACATGAAAAACAAGAGCTAAATTAGTTAAAATAGACTTGGAACTGCCGACATCATCTGAGGAACAGTCTCTAAGTTATTGTAAGAGCTCAAATGAAAACACACTCAAGGCACTAGATATTGATGAGCTCACTGCAGTCTAGAGCCAGAAATTGAGTTCAAAATTGAGAAACGTTTGTCTTTAACAATTAATATAAGTTGTCATATGCAATCAGCATTAGTGAAAAGTTTCCTTTTCTTCTGAATGGTAAAAAAGCAAGAGAAGCAGAACAGGGAATAGAATTAAACCACTGAAAAAAACAATTTTCTTTCCCTAATTCCGTATAGTATTATTCTTGAAATATATATACAGCATAAATCTTTACCCTGTAATAAATAACTGCCCAACCTCCAATCATGTCGTCCAATACATCAATAATTTCGCTAATTACTGTGCATGCATTTAATTTTCTCACCAGTGTTTTGGAACCATCATAAGAAACAGTATTAGACAGAAAGTATGCCTGAAACTTTATATGGATAAAAACTGTTATTCAGCATTAAGGAATTCATTAAAATATACAACATCCAACATGAAGGAATAACAAAATGCCACGAAATGATCCTGCTAGGTCTAACAGTTTATCCAAAATTTAAAAGAACCAACTTCCCACCTTCCGCCTTTTGTAAGACTCCTGTGACCGATAAGCCATCAGCTAGCAAATGGTAATACGACTCTTCCTTCTCTTTTCAGCAAACAAAAAGAAAAAAAAAATGAAAAACAGGTGCAACAACATACCTCTGAACGAAAATACGGTTTTCCAATAATTAGCAAATAACCGTTTCTACATTTAATTGTACTTCCTTGCTGCAAAAGGAAATTAATTAATGTTCAAGTGATCAAAAAAAGTACATCAGAAATATGGTAACAAACTTACAGGGAACTCAACATCATTATTCTGTAAATCGATAATCGTGATGCCATATGATGCTGTAACCATCTATTAGCTCTTCTGCTACTTTTGAAATTACTTCCTGAAAAAGGGATATACAATTCTTTATCTACCTTTTCAGCTATTCACAATACTAGTGCACATCACATACATCACTACTTGCTTTTGTTAACTATTACAAAAAGTTCGCATTATTTTTTATGGTGTGAGACTTTCCCTGCAGTCATGCAACTCTCAAGATCAGTAATAAAGGAGCTGATTTCGTCTAATACATTCTATTCTATGTTTGCACCACTCACTATTTTCCTTGTTTTTAGTAGAACATAACCTCACAACAGCTGATGACCATCCTTGATATAAGGTAATTTATTTAGGTCTCAAGTACTTAACTCCTCGACGGAACACCCAACCTTCCTCTCCCGCCTTCACCTCACACCACATCCCAACACCCAAAAAAACTTGACGCAGTCAATAACCTAATATAACTTGGTCTGTGTGAAAATCAGTAAATCAATGTTAATTTCCCTTGGGGTAGGGCCATTTGAGGTCTCACATATGTTATGTCATATATAAATTCTAACTGCAATGAAAAGCGTGTGACAGAATGGTTAGTTGGTGTATGAGATATATTTCTATCGAGTGTATGACAGTGGGAGATAAAAATTTCCTATACTTTAATTCGAGAGTTTCCACCTGTTTTCAGGTTTCAGTGCTTGGATATAAGATGTACTTCTAATGAGATGGTCTTAAAATACATTACAATGTTACATACGTTACTGCAAAAAATATATAAACACGTTAAATTTCTTTCCAGGCTTTTCATATACACTAACTCTTGAAATGCCTGAGTTGTGCATCTAATAAAACCTACTTGATTATTAAAGAAAGGACCGACTTGTATTTTGCCTGATCTCGTACAGTATCATCCGGCTAACCATTCAATCGCTTTCTGATGAACTACCGAGCACTCGAAGCTTTTTTTTTGAACTTGCTTGAATTCCTGAACTATGTATGTCTGCAGTAAAAGTTGTATTATCTGGTAAAGAACGACTTAGTATCCATGGTAACACCAATGCAATACACTTGGCAGCCAAAGCGCGTTATATTCCTCTGCTCTAAATGAGGATTTGTATTTCTGCCATGAAATTCCCCTGTTTTTTTTTTTCTTTGGAAAGGTTGTAATGCACAAAAGTCATCTGATTGTTATGAAAATATCACTGTCTGTTACATTTATCCTCAACTTCATAAGATGACATGAATTCTTTATATCCCTTTTCTACTTTTTATGTGTGTTCAAATTATCTAACAAGATGTTTTAAAAAAGTAGTGGATAATTTTGTATCTAACAATACAATCGTACCGACGATTATCACATCTTCACGGTTTTAAATCCGCGCATGCATTGATGGTTATAAAAAAAAAAGAATGGATCAGAAAATATAACTGTTAAATTCTGCTAGCAACAAATATGTTAAAAAAAAAGAAAGAAAAATGATTGAAGAATCGTTTTTCTGCTGTCTCTTTATAGATATGCACATTCTTAAATTGTAATGTTAGTTTAGATTCGATATCACATCTATTTACTGAAATTTCGGATATGCTCTTTTTGCTTTTACTAGTTTCAGGAATATCAATGTCTGATGATGGAGACGAAAATACTACTAATGATGAAGATCGTACCGTCAGTTTTTTAAATATCGGCGTTAAAAATAAACCCACTTCACCGAGAAGTGATTTGGATGCACTTCAGGGTAGGACAGAATTTAACGGTGACATGTTGCTCAAAGGAAAAGTTATTGCGAAAAGTAAAAAAAGGGAACTCCAGGGTCTCGATCGCAGGAATTTCATTCTTCATCAGCGCTTCGTTCGCAGGGATTTTAATGCATGCAAGGCTTTAGTAAAGGTTATCATTTTTTAGTGATCAGTGTAGAGATTCATTCAGGTTGAACTATTCTTATCATTTTCATCGTTTTTCGAAATAAATTGAAATGAGTTTTCAATTACATTATTTGTTCTAAAACTGCAGCTAAGAATTAAACATAGGAGATGGCAGACGAATACAGCGAAATGTGCGAGTATCCGTTTTGCATCAGAGGTAAAATAGCTCGAATGGAGGGTAATTTTCGTGAAGCTTTAATATGGTTAGTTATTCCGATTCCCATTACTTGTATCGTTATTTAAAACATTAGGAACTCTTTGCTCAAAAACTTTTTCATCTTATTATAACTTTTCAAAACTCCCAACTTCGATTTGAATTTAAAGGTTTGAGAAGGCGCAGTTGGTGAATCCCTTAAGTGCTGTTTACATGCGTGAAATTGGTCGTCTATATTTCTTACTTGGAAGCCATATTAAAGCATCAGAAGTTTTTCTGGACTCAATCAAGCTAAATAGAAAGGATTGGGTAAGTTCCAGGTGTGCCATTTTAAGAACTAGAAAAATGTTTTTTTTTTTTTTTTTTTCGAGTCAGCATTTCTAAGGAGTTACTTCAGTCCTTCAGTTCGCACCGAATGATGAAAATAACATTCTAGAAATCATACTATTTGCGAGCAATGGCACTTTATCACATCAAACAAGATTCTGAATCTACATTCAAAGTGCGTGAAATCTATTTCCAGGCTTTTTGTTGCTTAAAATTTGGAAAAAATTTTTATGCTCAAAAATTGCTCATTCTACTTCATTTTGGTTTTACCCTTATTTTAAATAAACCTCTGTGAGCAATTTTTCAGGCACAAGAATGTTTACTAATGGCCCCAACAACTGCGCGGCATGTTGAAATTTTGACATTTTTAGCAAGATTATGTGAGCAACGTAATGATATCAAAGTTGCAATTGAAGCGCAAAAGAAAGCATTGGAAGTAGGTTATGGAACTAGTAAAGATGTAATGCACAGATAATAAAAGCTGAATCGGAATATCAGTATGAATTTGAAGCACAGAACTTTTTTCCAAGAATTTCTAGAATTTTCAAAAATTGAAACTATATGAATTTCGGAAGGAAATGGAGACAGATTTCTCTACAAATTTCTGTGAAATGAAGTAAATGCACAAGGTGGTTAATATATCAATAAAAATTCCTCGTCATGTGTGAACCACTCGAGGTGCTGAACATGTATGCGAATATGTAACATCATTTTTTAATGATTGACGATTGTAGTTGGAACCAGCGAATCTTGATCTTCTTACAAACATGGGGCTGCTTTATGCGAGATGCCAGAATGATGACCAAGCATTTGATGTCTTTGGTAAAGCTCTTAGCTATGATCCAACACATCCACAAAGTATTCTAGCTGCTGGTTCTATCATACAAACGAATGGTGAGCATGAGGTCGCTCTAACGAAGTACAAGTTAGCAACAGCTTCTATAACTATTTAATATGTAATTAAGAAACATGCAGGATTTCAAAAACAGTTAGACACTAATCTCAATAACAAATAAACAAACACACAAGCGTATTTTTTGTCCCTTGATTTGATATTTATTTCTGTACAGAATAGCTGCAAACAACTGCGAATACAACGGACCGTTGTGGAATAATATCGGCATGTGTTTTTTTGGTAAAGGGAAGTGTGTTGCAGCAATAAGCTGTCTGAGGAAGGTAACTTTTTTAAATGTTTAAAATACAGAAAGCATTGCTAGTGGAAAATTATTGATTGTACTATAATTACGTTCATTTACTTTTTCCTGAAGGCTAATTATTTATGCCCGCTTGAATGGAAAATTTGCTACAATCTTGGCATTGTTTATAATGCTGTACAGCAGTACGCATCCGCTTATCATTTTTTATCATCGGCCGTCAATTTAAATACCCGTTCGACAATGCCTTACATGGCGCTAGCAGGTTCTACTTCATTTCAATCAAACAGTCGATGATGAGGAAAAGGGCTTTAAATTTTTAAATCGTTTTTCCAAAAGACAGATGCATAGGTCATTAACCAATTCTGGGAAAAAATCAAAATTTCAGAAAATACATAACACAGAAAGAAGTATTTCCAGTAGTACTAACGAACCTTGATGATAGCACGAATGCGAACAAAGCTTACGATAGAGCACTTCAACTTGACAAGAACAACAGCGCTCAAATACGCTTAAATTACGCCATATTTAAAGCGAAGCAAAAAGAATTGAAGAAATCAGTCGAACTGCTGCAAGCATTCTATAAAGCAATCACTAACAAGCGAATGTTATCACAAGTAATTTAGGAATTTATTAAAATATCTAAGTTGTAATAGGATTTTTGGAGTTCAGTAGGAATTAGTGCGCAAAAGTACTGTGAATGAAGGTGAAATGACAGTTGTCTATCAATTCATTCATACGAATTCTCATTTTCAGGAAATGATGTTTGCCGCAGATAATCTGAAACGATATTTGGGTCAAACAGATAAGTGCGATGAATTTACAAGCTGCTACACATAAATACAGTATCCCGTGAATATTTGATCAGAACGCTGCTGTAATAAGTCTTTTATACAATAAAGAGCTAATTACGGAAAACAAGCCCGAAGTTCTACTTCATTACAACAGCATAGATGGTAAAAAGTAGTTGTACAGGTTATTAGGTACTGCAAACGTGTGTCAAATAGCAGTTTGTAAATTAGACATAATCGTATTGTGAGGAAGTGTTTATTGGAATTACACTTTGTTCCGATAGCAGTATAATGCCACGAAAACGAAATCATGCATATCTTGTGATATCGATTGGAAATTAAAAGCAAATACTTTACCACCTTAAAAAAGCAGTGGAATTTAGGCACACTCTTCTCATTTGATGGAAAATTTATGAGTAATCACATTGTCCTCATGAATCCTCATAATCATACATGGTCTCTATCTGATGAACTTCCGAAAAGAGACGTAGTCCCCGTCAAACCAATGTCCACTACCACTCCGGGGAAAGATCTGTCAGCCGTCCATTACTTCTTTAGTGCAACGCAAAACACATAAATTTCATAGAGGCCTGATTAGTCTGAACAACTCAGAAGTATCATAGTCGTCCACCGAGATTTGAGTGCAAAATATGATAGGCCGCATTAGTCATGATTGCACTGTGACAGCTTGAAGAATACTTTTGTCTGCTGGGTAATTCTCTTTCCATTTTATTCGGTGATGTAATATCCATTGATACCGTGAGTTCATACAAGGCTTACTTGACCCTAAAATACTATCGTTATGTAATGAAATGTAGGCTTAATACTTGGTTTCATACGATTATCAATTTTACCGTGGGAGTTTTATTTTCTAGTTCGTGCTGTTCTAGAATTAAGCTTAATGCTGCTCAGCCTTGTTGATGCATTATCAGGCTTTCAAATTAAGGATAAATGTCACGAGAAAGCCGCATTTACGTTGGAAACCTACCAACAACTGTTAGAGCAAAGGATGTGGAAGATATCTTCAGCAAATATGGCAGAGTCCTTTACGTCGATTTGAAAGATCGGCGGCAGCCGTATTTTGCATTTGTGGAGTTCGAAGATGCGAGGTCTGCAGTCATTTTTAATATTCTTTTGGTTTTTGTGTAGGTCTAATTTGTCACTTTGAGTTAGACGACACGGGTATTATGTCTCTTTGAAGCTGTACAGACCCATTCTTACGTTGTTACTTTCAGGGATGCAGAAGATGCTGTTCGCGGTCGTGATGGTTATGATTATGAAGGATATCGGTTGCGAGTAGAATTTCCTCGAGGTTTAGGACCTAGGGGACCCGGTGGACGACCATATGACTCTGGAAGGAACTTGTCCGTCTCGCGAAGCGCTGGTGGAGGTGGCAGTTCCAGTGGAAGTCGTCGAGCAAACTATCGTGTTATAGTTTCGGGTTTGCCAGCTTCGGGTCTGTTTTATATGTAAAATGTCCTGATTTTTCCACAAAAGGTTTGACCAAAAAAACAGCTTCGGCGAACTCGATAAGTACATTCCGATGAACATCTCTTAGCAGTGTTAGCTCTGTTAGTAGTATTCAGCATGCTTTAATGTTTTCAGCTATAATTTCTTGAAAATTTATCGAACTTTGTAACTGAGTAGTATATAGCGTGGGCTTTTCTATCATTGTCTTTCGTTTCTCGAAATATTTTGACTACACTTACCACTTTTAGTTGTGATACTGAATTATAAACATATCTTTTATATTGGTTAAGTTTTTAGGGTCGTGGCAGGATTTAAAAGATCATATGCGTGAAGCAGGCGATGTTTGCTATACGGATGTATTACGTGATGGTACTGGTATTGTGGAATATGGCCGTTATGAAGATATGAAATATGCTTTACGTAAACTTGATGACACGAAGTTCAAATCGCATGAGGTATGTGTGTATTCATTTTCAGCCTACATTTTCAGTTTTTTCTGCTGCATGATTGTATTCTGATAGTCTCATTACGTGAAATGGCAAGAAAATTTTTAGGGTGAGACCTCTTACATTCGAGTGAAGGAGGATAATGGGGAATCGCGTGCTCATTCTCGTTCCAGATCACCGGTTGGTCGTGCTTCTCGAGGTTCACCGCAATATAGTCCATCTTACAGTAATAGTGGAAGTCATTCCCATTCACCTTGACTTGTTCACGTTCCTTTATTCATTACTTGTTGTGCTAACGTTACCTGATCCAGTACTCTGCTGTTAATTATCCGACCTCATTCATTGTATGGACGGGCATTTAAAATCAGCAAAGTATGTATGTTACTGACTGTAAACGTATTATTGGAATTTTTCCATTTTTCTAGCCTCTCCATTTTCATCTTTAAGCGTGAGCAAGACCTCACGAAACATGTTTTATTATTTTGTATCACCTAAATTATATTACATCATATGCTGTGGTTTTGTTGTTATTGAAAGATTCAAGACTGTTTTGACACTTCTTGATGTAGCGGTACTTGCTTGATCGTTTTCATTCCTCTACATTTGTTAGAAGTTTTAATTTCGGTTTCAACTTACCGTATATTTAAGTAATGTTTGTTCTTTGTCATCGGAATTGTGCGACTTGTTAATTAGGTACGTTCTATAAAATGCGTTTTTGTTACAGTGTGAAGGTATGTTGCATCAAGAATAGTTCTTAAGCATATCGGATTTATGTGGAACCGGCTTTCAGAATTGTATGTTTATAGATTGTTGGTGAGGAAAGGATTTAGCCTTATGGACATTCACTGCACAGTGCGAGCCAGTTTGCGATTTCTGTGTGTGAGAAATTGGCTTTCTTGGCTGCTTTCGTTTGGAGGACAGCTTCCTCATGGGGATTTTGTTCGTGCTTCTGATTTCATAAGACGCCTAAAGAAGTACTTGTTTGCGTCAAGACGATTTTAAAAATGGAGGTCAGTGTGGACTGCAGAGCCCATCTCTCGTTTTGCTCCAAAATGCATCAAGCCCGATAATACTCAGGTAGGCCGTGATTTTCTTTCATTTTTTGCTTAAGAAAAAAAAAATTCTCATTTAGTTGAACTGCAAGTCATTGCGTTAAGTTTTTGAACGAATTTTCTGCGTAGTTTTATGCTGTCCGTTGAGTTGTAGAGCATTTTTTCTGCTGAATTGGCATTTTGATACATTACCACGTATTGCGATGGCGGATAAAAGTGAATTGGGAATAAAATGTTTTTGCTTACAAAACAACTGGGGATTTATTAAATGCGTCGGAAAAGCTAGATAAGATGACATGATCGTTACCACTAAACTACCGCTTAGTTAATAGAAATTTGATAGGAAATTATTTTCTTCTGAGCTTATCATCTGTGCTGAATATGCGTTCATGAATTAGAATTATAAGCACTTACAGAAATACAAAAGCGGTAATGTATTTTTCGTTTGATTATCTTCTACATTTGGGTATTTGACGCTTATTTTTTTTTTGTTTTGCTAATCTTTGATAGTAATAGAATTTTAGAGATTGGACGTTGAGATTTTCTAAATTGATTAATTGCATAAACGACCAATCGCGTGTCAGTAACTGAGGACTTCTGTTAGCTGAATTTCTCAAAAAAAGGTGTGAATTCTCCAATTAACTGAGGATAAGTAAATGTCAAAATGATAATGATAGAACATGTGCATTTTACAATTCACTGAAATTGAGCTGTGGAAGAGCAAAATCGATTTTGTGCTTATTTCCTCAAAACGTTCAAATGAACTACGAAATCCAGTTCGGTAACTCATCTTCGGTTATACATGCTATGATTCACACCTAGATCTGTTACCGTCGTGACATCATTATGTATTATGTAAGTGAAAAATTGAATTTGCAATCGATTTTGGGGTACACCAATTCGTATATGGAAATCAGATGATGCAAGATATCCTGATGTGTTCAATAGCAAAAATTAGAGATTTTGATAAAGTGAATTATTTATACAGGCCATCGATTCATCGATTCTTTAACAAGACCAAATTCTGATAATCCGAAAGGAAAATCGATTATGCGTTGTTTTTTGCATGACGTGTTTAACATTGCTTTGCAACCACTCCGTATTTTTCTATATTCCACTAACTCCCGAGACCTGATTTCTCATTTCATTTAATGCTGTTTATTTGTTGAAACGTATAGGCTTTTTTTTTATTGGTTTTATGTGGCTTTTAACTGATTAACTATCCATCATGGGGTTTTCCACGCTGCATGACTGCACATGCAATTCACTTGATGTTATATTTTGTGTCGAGAATTTCAGCTTATTGATTCTTATTGCTATATATTATTGCTTTCTTTTTTCAGATAGTTCTTTATTTTAAATAGAGTTAGATAACTTGTTTTTCGGATTTTTACTTGTACTTGCTTGTTCTTTGGATTTCCGGTTTTTGCTTGCTCTTTACTCTCTCAGTTTTAGTCTAATATTTCTGTCGTAGTTTCGTCAACATGTCCCAAGTGTATTTTACAGTTGCAGGGAAGTCTTGCATAATTGAAACAAAAAGTAATTTTGAAATATAAGATTTTTCCTCGAGATATATGCAGGTTCGTTAAACGGATTCAGCAATCCACCAATATGATGCTAAGTTCCGTATTTTGTCTAAAAAATTAGGGCTTTCAATCCATATTGTCAACTTTAGGTTTTCTGATGATACTGTCAGGATGTGTGATGCAAAAAAAAGGTATACATTGGTTAAGATGCCAATATACCTAACGTTGGCAGTGTTCTGTAACGGTATTTTCCCCATTGCTAATTTTTTAGAATGGATTTTAAATCAAGGTTGTCATTTTTTGTTCATATTTTTTAGATTAAATACGTTTCATGTCCAATCTAATCTAAATTATGCGCAAAAAACTTTTGTATGTCTAAACCATTTTAATGTTTTGAAACAAATAGGTTGATCTACTACAGATTATTTAAACACGACATGTCAGTTAACTCTATCATGCAAAATCAAGAAATGAAATTGCATGGTGTTTTACTTCGTATGGACCTTTTAACTCTTTAAACAGATCATGCCTTCTTAGTGCATCATCTTGTGACAT